TATCTCTTTAAAGATTAAAAGGAAAAAGAAAACCGACCAACGGGGCGCGGGGCCCCTGGAGTTGCGAACCAACATTAAATTAAACGACGGCGGGGATACGGCCGTCGTTTAATTTTGCGTCGTCGTTGTGCACTACCGCTAGACCACAGTGGGTTTTGGTGAGAACCCTTGGCAAAAATCTCCTAGAAATAGGTTGGCTCGCATTGTTATTGAAATGTAGGTTTAATTGTGCTTGATTCATATTGTTATTATCTTACTGGGACTTGCACTACTATTGTGTTAATTTTGCATTTTTCTTTTTTACAGGCTGATTAAAAGTCACGAGTAAATAATGGTCAATTTGGGAAAGAAGAAGCGAAAGAAATTTTTTAGTCTCCATTAGTTGTAAGAGAGTTTGAATAAAGTTTATTTCTCCAAATAACAGCGCGCGAGAACACACGAAGGCGCTATTTATAGCAATACTCAAAGTACACCTTGTTGCCTAGGAAAAATTACCATTTACAACGTCACGATAAATATAATTTAACATTGTGAGACCAATTATTATTTATGTATTGAACAACCTGAAAGAAGTGTACCAATCAAACTGAAGCTTTTGCTAAGTAATAAGTGTAGCAGTAGTAAAAGAAGCGCAAAAGTCGAACTGAAAACACTGCTAAATAATAATTGTAGTAGTAGCAGTAGTGTACAAATCGAACAGAAGATTTTGCTAAGTTATGAATGAAAACAAAAGAAGTAGTGCACAAGTCGAACAGGAAATTTTGCGAAGTAACTAAAGTAGCAGTAGTAGAAGAAAAAGTGTACGATCGAACTGAAAATTCTGCTAAATAATTAATTTAGTAGTAGAAGCGAAGTGTATAAGTCGAAAAGAAAACTTTGCTAAGTAAGCAGAGCAGAAGTAGTGAACAAGTCGAACTGAAATTTTCCTAAGTACTGCACAAGTCGAACTGATGAGTAGAAGTAGTAAAAGATGTAGTGTACAAGTCGAACTGAAAATCTTGCTAAGTAACATACATCAGTAGCAGAAGAACAAGTGCACAAGTTGAAAAAAACTTCTGCTGAGTAACTAATATCAGTACGAGTGCACAAATCAAAGTGAAAATGACGCTAAGTAATTAGTGCAGTAGTAGTAAAAGAAGAAGTGTAGAAGTCGAACTGAAAATATTGCTAAGTAATAAGAGTAGTAGAAGTGTATCGGTCGAACTGAAATGTTGCGAAGTAGTTAGTGTAGTAGTGTACAAGTCGAATTGAAAATGCTGCTAAGTAATTACAGCAGTAGTATTAATAGAAGAATTAGTGTACTTGTCGAAGTGAAAATTTTGCTAATTAGTTAGAGCAGTAGTAGCAGTGTAGACGTCGAACTAAAAATGCTGCTAAGTAATTAGAGAAGTAGTGTACAAGTTGAGCTGAAAATGCTGCTAAGTAAATAGAGTAGTCGTAGTTGTTGTAGAAGTAGTAGTAGTAGTGTGCAAGTCAAACTGAAAATGCTGTCATGTAATGAGTGTAGTCGTAGTTGTTGTAGAAGAAGTAGTGTGCAAGTCAAACTGAAAATGCTGCTAAGTAATGAGTGTAGTCGTAGTTGTTGTAGAAGAAGTAGTGTGCAAGTCAAACTGAAAATGCTGCTTAGTAATGAGTGTCGTCGTAGTTGTTGTAGAAGAAGTAGTGTGCAAGTCAAACTGAAAATGTTGCTTAGTAATGAGTGTCGTCGTAGTTGTTGCAGAAGAAGTAGTGTGCAAGTCAAACTGAAAATGTTGCTTAGTAATGAGTGTCGTCGTAGTTGTTGCAGAAGAAGTAGTGTGCAAGTCAAACTGAAAATGTTGCTTAGTAATGAGTGTCGTCGTAATGAGTGTCGTCGTAGTTGTTGCAGAAGAAGTAGTGTGCAAGTCAAACTGAAAATGCTTCTAAGTAATGAGTGTCGTCGTAGTTGTTGCAGAAGAAGTAGTGTGCAAGTCAAACAAGTCAAACTGAAAATGTTGCTTGCTGCTAAGTAATGAGTGTCGTCGTAGTTGTTGTAGAAGAAGTAGTGTGCAAGTCAAACTGAAAATGCTGCTAAGTAATGAGTGTCGTCGTAGTTGTTGTAGAAGAAGTAGTGTGCAAGTCAAACTGAAAATGTTGCTTAGTAATGAGTGTCGTCGAAGCAGAAGTAGTAGTGTGCAAGTCAAACTGAAAATGCAGCTAAGTAATGAGTGTTGTTGTAGAAGAAGTAGTGTGCAAGTCAAACTGAAAATGTTGCTTAGTAATGAGTGTCGTCGTAGTTGTTGCAGAAGAAGTAGTGTGCAAGTCAAACTGAAAATGTTGCTTAGTAATGAGTGTCGTCGTAGTTGTTGCAGAAGAAGTAGTGTGCAAGTCAAACTGAAAATGTTGCTTAGTAATGAGTGTCGTCGTAGTTGTTGCAGAAGAAGTAGTGGGCAAGTCAAACTGAAAATGTTGCTTAGTAATGAGTGTCGTCGTAGTTGTTGCAGAAGAAGTAGTGGGCAAGTCAAACTGAAAATGCTTCTAAGTAATGAGTGTCGTCGTAGTTGTTGCAGAAGAAGTAGTGTGCAAGTCAAACTGAAAATGTTGCTTAGTAATGAGTGTCGTCGTAGTTGTTGCAGAAGAAGTAGTGTGCAAGTCAAACTGAAAATGTTGCTTAGTAATGAGTGTCGTCGTAGTTGTTGCAGAAGTAGTAGTGTGCAAGTCAAACTGAAAATGTTGCTTAGTAATGAGTGTCGTCGTAGTTGTTGTAGAAGTAGTAGTGTGCAAGTCAAACTGAAAATGTTGCTTAGTAATGAGTGTCGTCGTAGTTGTTGTAGAAGTAGTGTGCAAGTCAAACTGAAAATGTTGCTTAGTAATGAGTGTCGTCGTAGTTGTTGTAGAAGTAGTGTGCAAGTCAAACTGAAAATGTTGCTTAGTAATGAGTGTCGTCGTAGTTGTTGCAGAAGAAGTAGTGTGCAAGTCAAACTGAAAATGCTTCTAAGTAATGAGTGTCGTCGTAGTTGTTGTAGAAGAAGTAGTGTGCAAGTCAAACTGAAAATGCTGCTAAGTAATGAGTGTCGTCGTAGTTGTTGTAGAAGAAGTGTACAAGTCAAACTGAAAATGTTGCTTAGTAATGAGTGTCGTCGTAGTTGTTGTAGAAGTAGTAGTGTGCAAGTCAAACTGAAAATGTTGCTTAGAGTAATTGTTGTAGAAGAAGTAGTCGTCAAAGTTGTTGTCGTCGTAGTTGTTGTAGAAGTAGTGTGCAAGTCAAACTGAAAATGTTGCTTAGTAATGAGTGTCGTCGTAGTTGTTGTAGAAGAAGTAGTGTGCAAGTCAAACTGAAAATGTTGCTTAGTAATGAGTGTCGTCGTAGTTGTTGTAGAAGAAGTAGTGTGCAAGTCAAACTGAAAATGTTGCTAAGTAATGAGTGTCGTCGTAGTTGTTGTAGAAGAAGTAGTGTGCAAGTCAAACTGAAAATGCTTCTAAGTAATGAGTGTCGTCGTAGTTGTTGTAGAAGTAGTAGTGTGTAAGTCAAACTGAAAATGCTGCTTAGTAATGAGTGTCGTCGTAGTTGTTGTAGAAGTAGTAGTGTGCAAGTCAAACTGAAAATGCTGCTAAGTAATGAGTGTCGTCGTAGTTGTTGTAGAAGTAGTGTGCAAGTCAAACTGAAAATGCTGCTAAGTAATGAGTGTAGTCGTAGTTGTTGTAGAAGTAGTGTGCAAGTCAAACTGAAAATGTTGCTAAGTAATGAGTGTAGTCGTAGTTGTTGTAGAAGTAGTGTGCAAGTCAAACTGAAAATGTTGCTTAGTAATGAGTGTAGTCATAGTTGTTGCAGAAGAAGTGTACAAGTCAAACTGAAAATGTTGCTTAGTAATGAGTGTAGTCGTAGTTGTTGTAGAAGAAGTAGTGTACAAGTCAAACTGAAAATGCTGCTAAGTAATGAGTGCAGTCGTAGTTGTTGTAGAAGAAGAGTGTGCAGGTTGAACCGAAAATGCTGTTTAGTAATGAGAGTAGTCGTAGTTGTTATAGAAGAAGTAGTGTACAAGTCAAATTGAAAATGCTGCTTATTAATTAGTAATAGAAGAAGTAGTGTACAAGTCGAAGTGAAAATGCTGCTAAGTAATTAGTGTAATCGTAGTTGTTATAGAAGAAATAGTGTACAAGTCAAGCTGAAAATACTGCTAAGTTATTAGTAAGAGAAGAAGAAGTAGTGTACAAGTGGAACTGAAAAAGTTGGTATGTAATCAGGTTAGAAGTAGTGTATAAGTTGAAGTGAAAATGCTGCTAAGAATTAAGAGTAGTAGAAGTAATAATTGAAGCAGTGTACAAGTCAAACTGAAAATGCTGCTAAGTTATTAGTAAGAGAAGAAGAAGTAGTGTACAAGTGGAACTGAAAAAGTTGGTATGTAATCAGTTTAGTAGTTGTGTATAAGTTGAAGTGAAAATGCTGCTAAGAATTAAGAGTAGAAGAAGTAATAATTGAAGCAGTGTACAAGTCAAACTGAAAATGCTGCTAAGTAATTAGAGTAGTTAAGTAGAAATAGAAGAAGTAGTGTATAAGTTGAACTGAAAGTGCTGCTAATTAATTAGTGTAGTATTAGTAATAATAGAAGAAGTAGTGTACAAGTTGAACTAAAGGTGTTGCTAATTAATCAGTGTAGTATAAGTAGTAATAGAAGAAGTAGTGTACAAGTTGAACTAAAGGTGCTGCTAATTAATCAGTGTAGTATAAGTAGTAATAGAAGAAGTAGTGTACAAGTTGAACTGAAAGTGCTGCTAATTAATCAGTGTAGTATTAGTAGTAATAGAAGAAGTAGTGTACAAGTTGAACTGAAAGTGCTGCTAATTAATCAGTGTAGTATTAGTAGTAATAGAAGAAGTAGTGTACAAGTTGAACTGAAAAATGCTGCTAAATAATTAGAGCAGTAGCAGTAATGGAAGAAGCCGAACTGAATCCAAGAAGCTTTACTGTAAACTGTAGGTGACAAAACGAAATGATAGGAAAATGAAAGACACGGGTAAGCAACGTTGCCATTTGAAAGTTTTTTAATATTTAATGTGTATTTATATGTCTTGAATCTCTTTTTTGTTAGTGTTCAAACCTGAAAAAGAAGAAAAATCATTATTCAATTTCTGATCAATCACTTTGCATGTCCAAGTTGTATAAAATGTAACACAAGAGATTTCTGTAAATAATGTTAGTTTTTTTTAATTCTTTTGATGAAATTAAATATCTCTTCGTATAATTTCTAAACTAGTTTTCAGTCGCAAGTGGCAAGAAATGTTTGAGGTGTAAAAGGAAAAGATGAAGCTACATTAACAAAAATTATTTATTTCAGAGAAATTGATCATGAACCCGTAGTCTAACTAGTTCGTAGCAAGGTAATTCAACAACGACAGCACAAATGTTTTGTTTAAATAAAATTTGAATATCGCACATGTCAATAATTCCTACGAGAGTGATACTGGTTAAACCTATTGTTTCTATGAACAATGAGTGCGAACCTATTTCGAGTGAAATTTTGCAGGGATCCTTTACCAAAAGTCAGCATAGTCTAGCGGTAGTGCTCGTTTGACGTTTAAATTTAACGGCGGCGTTCCCCCGCCGTCGTTAAATTTAATTGTTAATTCGCAACTCCAAGGGGCTCAAGCCCCGTTGGTCGGTTTTCTTTTTCCTTTTAATCTTGAAAGAGGCAGAATTTTGAAGAGCTCCGAGAGTTTTTTTTACTAGGAAAAAATTCCCAGAAAAAAAAATTATCGGAGCTCCTAAAATTAACAAATTCTGCCTCTTTCAAGATTAAGAGGAAACAAGAAAACCGACCAACGAGGCTTAAGGCCCTTGGAGTTGCGAACCAACAATTAAATTAAAGGACGGCGGAAGGAAACTACCGTTAGAGTTAACCGTTAAAATTAATGTTCACTACTGCTACACCACGCTGGCTATTTTAAAAACGGTCGAAAAAGTGCAGATCATGACAACGCCACTGGTAATAACTATCTCGAGGAAACAGGATAAAACTCATTACAATAAATGGAAAACGAGATCATCTTAACCTTCACATCTGGTATAAATGGTAGTTAAACGCGGAAATGAATGCTAATCGAAATAACTTTGGCGAGGATTTACTTTGCGCATTGTTTAGAAAAATCCGTGGTTGTTCAAAAGAGTGCACCGTAATAAGATCTTCTGTAACACTCAAAAACATCAAAATATCTGTAATCCTATTGAACTGTAATTGAAGAAAAACAGAGAAAGGAAGTCATTTTCCCGAATACGCAATGAAGAACAGAAATCTAAGACTCTTTTACGCCTCAATAATGCTTTCTTTAGCACTATTCTTTGGTTTTCCGTAAAGTTCCTCGGGAACAAATATAATTGAATGATAGCTTCAGTTTTGGAATGAAATCTCATCCTAAACAAATTCAATAATTTAAAATTTAAGCATCTTTCTCATCTTCAATTTTAAATCATTTAAATGAGCCTAGGTAGCAGCTACTTTACATGGAAAGCTGACAAACGCAGTTCATAAAATGCATGAACACAACTAGTTTTTTTGTGGATTGATACAACTTTCAAACTTTTCTACAATAAACTTGAAACTGAAAAGCTATTTCATACAACATGTATCTTGACAATAGTGAAAATTGTTTTAACACCTAGAACAGAGCCACGATAAGATTTTCGAAGATTTTAAAGAAAACTATTGCAGGAGATCGATTCTGTTTTAGAATAAATTCCTTCGTCTCCTGAACTGCACTCTTTTCATTCATTTACTTACTCATAAATTATCTTTAACGTTGTTTGATGACACCCGACATATGAAAAGCATACTTGTTGAAAATAATTTGTTTTGGTTTTAAGGCTAGACTCCTGTCAAGGTTTTCGAGTTTGGAGGTATAAACGAATTTTTATCATTCCTCTCTTAATCTATTTTTATTATTTTTTTCATTTACGAATTTTTTTTACACGTAAACTACAACTGTTTCCTTTCCTGGTCATAAAATTTCAGCTCCTATCAGCAAATTACTATTTATTTCTAGAAATAAAATTCATGAGCTAAATACTCGTCCTTCCTGATAAAAAGAGATAAAAATGTACGCTTAAATTGGAAAACATTTTTCCTCCAAATACAAACACCATTTTCCTTAGAAATTAATTCATTAATAAATATTTCTCTCTATTTTTTTTTCGAAACCTTGACGATAGTCATGGTAAGCGTCAAAGAAGTTAAAGTTAATTTTGCTGCCCAAGTTAAGTCATAAATCTCTTCTTACTTATTCGTTGAAATGCCATAGTATCGAAATAAACATATCATAATCTCTCTCTTTTTAGATCTCTTTTTAAAAACTCCGAACTACAAATTTAAAACGCCCACGACGAACGACAGTTTTTGTCTAATTTTAAAAACCTCAAAGGATAACTCACAACATCAACTCCCCAAAGGTGAATATTAACGCTGGGTCCTATTTTGCTGCGGCGTGCTTGGATGGGGTCTTTTTGGGTAAAATACGTCGACTATTGAGGGACGAATGAAAGAAATAGTATTTTTCAACAAATGTACATGTATGATTTAGGATCTTCAAAACAAGGATGAAAATGATATCTTAAAATGTAACCTAAAAAACATCCGAGTCAATAATTTACCCAATTCAAGTCTCGAGGGAGTTCCCAGCTTTATCTTTTGTAAATCATGTGTGCATATGCACGTGAATAAGAGGAAACTTGAAAGACGCAATTCTCTAAAGTATTGTAATAGAACCTGAAATGGGTAAACAGAACAAACATGCTACAGAGGTATTTTTACTCCATCGGCTCAATAACTGAAAGCAAATATTTTTCTACGTGGGTTTCCTCTTTATTCCAATTCTTTGATGACGGTTGGATTACGTGAATTTCTAGATAAAATCTAGTCCTTTGAAAGCAACAATGTTTTCTACTGATTTTTTCACTTGAAACGAATTTTAAACTTGAGATTAAAATTTTCTTTTTTTGGTTAATCTTTTCAGTTTTTACTAGGAAAATACAATTCAGTATTAAAGAGATATCAGTGTAGAGTTCAAAGCCTTTCTCTTTTCTGAAGAATGAATTTAATGTTTAAAGGCACCAATTATCACACATACAAGAAGTTCATTCAAGAAAGCATTCACAATTTTTATTCCGAGGTTTCCCGTTCCTTCGAATTCGAAAGTTCTATGGTAATGGATTATCGCTGAAATAGATTTGGTTTCATGTCGCTGTATAATTTTTGACAATCTGTGCTGCATTGTTAACTCGGAAGAGAGTTGAAAATTTGTGAACTATTTTCAGTAAAAAGTTTCTCTTTCCTTATAAACATTTCGCTTTCTGCTAGTAAAATACATTTTAAGTTTAAAGTACACGTACTAGCTATTTTGTAAAAAAAAAACATCTAATTTTAAGGAAAGTAAGTATCTTGTAACGAAAGCCGCACTTTTTCATATAAAGTTGAGAGTTTCGCATTGCACTAAAAATGATGCTCTCTTTCGAGCATTTTACTACGCAACCTGAGTCTTAATAATTGTTGATTTTACTTGCTCGAAAGTCTGAGAATATTAATTCTTATTCATTGTTCGGTATTACTTTTTCCGATAAAAAATACTATCGCTTTAATTGTTTTAGAGACAATTCTAAGTTAAATGGGTTGCTTTTTCCAGTGAAAAATCCTCTTCATACCCTGAAGGTAGAGAGGATAACCTTGATTTGCTGCACAACTTCAAATCTCTCTTTTCTTCTGATTTTGCAAATGGACAACTTTTATTCCCAACGAAACGTGTTTCGTGGTCTCTCTCGTGCGACTCTGTTATAATTTGTTAAACAACAGTTCTATTACACATTTGATCCGCTAAGCAACAAGTGGCGAAAAAGCATAGAAAACGCCGTACAAAATGTCTTTGAATCAACCCGACCATTTGGAAACAATTGAACCAATGGTAGCATTCATTGAAAATTTGGGTCTCGTTCTTCAAGTTCCGTTGTAATGAATCTCCTCTAACAACGAGCAAAACAACAAATTGTGCAACTCACGTTTCGCTGAGTTCTTTAGATCATCTTGTGCGTATCCAATCCTCTTTCCCAAATGCAGAATACATCCCTTCTCTGTATTCTGCAAATCCAATAAATACATTGATTACTGATATTATTAAACAAACAAACAAACAACAAAAGGAATGGAGGGGAAAACCTAAAACAGAAGAAAAGATGGACAAAAAGATATATTGTAGGGTATGTTCCAAGCTGGTTATGAATATTTTTAGAGCCTATGCTACGAAAAAGACATTAAATTCCACGTTTAACTTACATTTACCAATCGTAGTCCGTTCCTTCTCTGATTGTATAAATTACTTTAACACAAAATAACAAACAAATTGAAAAGAAGATCCGTTTTCATTAGCCTTCTACCCTTTTCCAATTGCTCTCGTTTATACCCTTTTCGCCGACAATAAATCAAAGTTAAAGATTCTGTTATTTAGACTCCTTTTTCCATCTCTTCAGTCCCTAGTTGACGCGTTCTTGGATCAATTGTTTATTTTTTTTCTAGTACTACGATGAAGAATAAGCGTGAACGGTAAGGCCTTTTAACTTATCAAAACAGTGCTTCTGGTCTAGTATAGAAAGAGTGATACAATGGTAATTTCGTATCTGCGTTGACTGTTATCCAGTTCAATAAACCACCGGAATAAATGTACATGCAAATTGTTTGATTACACGACCTTGAACTTGGTTCTCCCGCGCTTATCCGTAATTTTGGCCACTGGAATTATTTTCCCTTGAACAATATAACACAGAATCCTTAATAATTTGTCGTGAACGAAAAGGAATTTGAGCGCATCTTCGAGTTCTACGAGTCTTCAGCTTTATTCCTGCAATATTGAAAATGAGAAATGTCTGAAGCAATCAGCTAATTCTCTCCAACAAACCAAAACAATTAAATACAATACTATCAATACAAAACAAGTTCATTGCGTTGTACGCTTGGCTATTCAGGTGAGACATTACATAATGGAACGACACACCAGCTAATCGAAGGGTATTCCACATAAAAATTAAATTTAAAATTAATACCATAACATATGAACAAAACTTTTAAAAAGTGTAACTCAGGATCATAAAATATAATCTCAAATAATTCTACGTTATGCTAAAAAGTAAAGACGATAATCATAATTATGTGCTAACAATAATATAAAAATAAGAAAGACGTTAGGTTAAAAGCCCAAAAGGTTAATTTTCTTCATATTGTTTTTAAAGGCCTTAAAAGTTCCAACAATTCTGTGTGACTCTGGTAGCAGACTCCACAGCCTTGGCGCTAGGTAACGCCACGATTTCAGTCCGTAAGCCGTGGTGTTGACCTTAGACAGTTTTAGAATGTCGGCTCCCTCCAGATCGCACTTATTGTTTACTAAAATCTGGTAACGTTGTTATGCTTAAGCAAGCATAATCGTAATTAATAGCTTTAAAAACCGTACGAGCTATTTTTGCGAGTCTTTGATTAACGGTGAATATACTTGCCTGTTAGTTACCGAAAATAGATTTGCATACAGCGCGAGGGCACAAGGGATTGCAAAACAGAGAAGGAAAATACAAACCCAACTGAAAGACGACATAAACTTTAATGAAGGTAACATCTAAAGGAATCGATATAATCAACATTTAAGAAAAATTTTGTGGGAACGTCGAGGTCCTAGAATACCAAGACGTTTTAATAGTCTTGAAAATATTGATCAGGAGACAGGTTTTAGCTGGACTATCGCATAATCGAGCAAACACTTCATTCTCTCACCTCGCTTATTTCCTGCAAAATCCAAACGTATTCAGTTTTCCGCTCCTGAACAAGTTTGAGGAAACATAAGTCTTGAAAATTCTTTTTGGAGCAAGTATGTGCACGGGAACTGGCAGAATATGTCGAGTTTCCGTTGGAAGAAACGTATCACTGTAACTCCACGAAGCACATGTCACACTGACCGAAGGTGTGGGACAATCATGAATGCATAATTAATTTGTCTATTATTTTGATCTCACCAGTCACCCTTGAATACATTTTCCACAACAATTCCCGAGTTATTCATATTTTTCCTATCTGTTTCTTGGTGGGATAATACTTGAAATTGAAGGGAGGAGCTAAAGGTCAATTTTTGAAGGATACTTTTTCTTGTTCTTATCAAAAATATTTAACATACAGAAGAAAGCATATTCTGAGCGTAGTGGCCGCCAGCCAAGTTTTGAACTTTACAACACTGCTTAACTTGTCAACGTATCCATCCTCAATAACGGCTTCTACCACGAAACCAACTTCAAAAAAAATAGATTCCGTGACATGTTAACTAGGTAGTTCACCCTCATAGTCATTAACATTTCTTAATTGACTCTATGTAAATATTTGCCACGAATTAGATCAAAACACGTCCAACTTAGGTCAACAACTGAAGTCTGCTTAGTCTATTTGTATTTGAATACATATAACAAAATGTCTGATGAAGCTAAAATTAAATTACAAAAAAATGGTGGAAATCAAAATTGTTACGACGTTTTGGATTCGTCAAATATACTCTCATAGCTCAGAGATACTTAATATTAGTTTCACCAAGGTTTATCTACTTTTCTACATTTTTAGCGTAATGTCTCAAAGCACACTACTCTAATGAGATTCTATTTACATCGACGCATAATCGTTTCACTTGAGTCGATTCGTTCCTGTACTTAGTAGGTTTAACAATTCGATAGTGGTTTAGCTTGGTCTACACTCTTATCGACAACGACATTCGTCATCACAGTGGTCAAAAAAACTGCGACATTGCAGCCAATTGTGGTAAAATACTCGATTTATACAAATTGCGAAAAACTAGAAGACACATCTCGGGTTTTATGCATTGGAAAATTAAAAACTGAGCATCGTTTGGTACAGAGAAATACGCAGTATACCGGTTAATTTTTAGTGAGAAGAAATTATTACCATCGGTTGAAATTTGTACAATAAAACTTTCCCTTGAAGCTATACTACTGTCTCCCTTAAATACAGCAACCTTTGGTTAGAGCTGGCCTGATTAGATTGTTTACTGCTCGTCAGTGAGAGGAAATTTGTTTTTGCCGAAACATAAATAGGAACGTTTAATTTTGACCTACAACCCATGTACAGAACTCTCTTAAACCCACGACGAAAATTTTCATTGAACACAACGTAGATAATTGGGTTAATAGCCCCGTTGGCTCTTATCAAAAATTCGCAGGCAAAGAAGAATTCAAAAGGAAATTCAGCGTCGCCGAAATAAACAGAAAAAGTGGATATTTGTAGTGGCAACCAACATAGTATAAAACACACAAGGATAAAAATGAGCATTCGAACCACTTTGCGTCTTCCTGACACAATACGCTGCCGGGTGATTTCGTCAGAAATGCCGGGGATTTTACGAAACCATAAAATGTAGGACATAAGTGAGTAAAATATGAACATGGTCAGGAACGGAATCGAGTAAATTACAACAAACAATATAACAGTGTATGTTTTGGCGGCCATATCTGTGTCAAAATAGGGCGACCAGTCTTCGTAGCAGTAAGAGGTATTGTTATCTTCATGCAGCCGCATGGCGTACATCATCGGCGACATAACCAGGGCAGAACACAGCCAGATTGATGCGACGATCCATTTTAGATAAGTCTTATTCTTCAGATTTTTCAGTGGGAAAACAATGGCGAAGAAGCGATCGTAAGCGATGGCTGCCAGTGTCAATACAGAGCTAGCAATCATACCGAACCCCATCGCGTTTACAAATTTGCAAATGAATGTTCCCCAAGAACCGCGAAAAGGGAAGGGGCGTTCAAGAATGCCGGCGATAAAAGGCTCAATGGCAACAGCTGTGTAGAGCAAATCGCTGATACTCATGTTTACGATGAGAAAATAGGTGTTGGCATGCAATTTTTTGGTGGTAAAAACCACAAAGATGACGATGGTGTTGCCGACTAAGGACAGCACTGCAACCAGGACAGCCAAGACAGCCTTGAAGATTGCCAAAGAGCTAACGACTCCACTCGTTGACATGAAATTATTTTTTTCAGTAGAATCAATCGATAAGCTCTGAGAAATCGTAGAATTATTCATCCTGTCCATCTGTTAATTCAGCAACCCCTCTCTGTCTTGAATCGAAAATAGTTGTAATGTTCGCGAACGGTTAACAACTGGAAACGGTAGCCTCGATGAATCGATAGACTCGAATCAACCCTTAGTTTTGCGGTCTGCTAATCTTGAAGCATTGATAAAAATGATTGCATGCAAATTATCTCAACCTGCGTTGCAATTAAGTTTTCCAGGTATACAATACTTTAAGTGTGATGCAACCCTCCCCTTCATGCGAATAAACGTCGTTATTTCCCACAAAATTTCCCTGATGGAAGATAATAACATTTTTGACTATTGTCAATCGTACTTTCCCTGTTGCTGTCACTGTTTCTTTTTCTGCATGTGGTTCTATAATCACAGAACGAAAACTTAAATAAAAAAAGAAGAAAAAAAGCACCGTAGGAAAAAAGACATAAGTTGCCTCGTCGGTACAATTGCATTTGATGTTTATAATTATTCTGTATATCCATTATAAAGTAATCTCATAGCTTTTATCTATTCACACATTGTTCAACAGAGGTCTACTACTCGGCGCAAAAAATTATTGCAGGTTTGAATGATTGAAGTGATCAATTTGGCACTAACAGAACACCTCTCTCCAATGATAAAAATAAAGAAGCCTTTCCTGCAGTTTGCAACAAGACAATGCAAAATATCGTCGGTGGTTTTCTTGCTAAAAGATAATTATTACAAACGCCATCAACTGTCGAGATTTTCCCTAAATATCTTCGATTTTATGGCAAAAAATTGAAAAGAATTTAATTTATATGCAGCATTTATAGGCTTTTAAGCGAGAAAAAAGGTTATATTCAATACAGTTTTTTTCGCGATTTTAAAGGTTTCCATTTATCTAGAGCATACAATGTAGATGCAAATCATTAACATTAAAATTGTCTGGAGTTTATTTTCAAGATTTTGAAGTGCTTTCATGTAAATTCGCTTAAGCCTTCTGATGTCGTGTAGCACTCAAGAATCAGTGCGTACAAGAATACAAGTGGGGTAAGACAAGGAACTCACCGCGAATGACCGTTGCCTTAAATGACATCCTCATCCTTCTGATCTCGACGACTGTGGATCCGACGACTTATCCCTGGATCAGTCAGCTAATCACTTGAAATTCATTCAACGATGAGCAGTCTGCACGAAACACATGCAAACTGCAAAGGAAATATTTTGGCAAAATACAGATAAAAGTGACTAAAATGACGATCATGCTGGTTAAAATATTATGCAATCAAAACGCTCCTCAAAGGAGGATTCGAAAGTGGTGAACTTTGCTCGTTTTATGAAGCAAAATATAGAAATTATTTATAAACAGTTTTGCGCGAATGCTGCAAGCGGACAGATATATATCTCATGGCATTTTGGGGAAAAGCTCTCCGATTGGTAAACATCCTTCAAAAACAAATCATTTCAAGATCTGTACATTATCATTCTTTGAAAAGATAGGAAAATCAAAGACTAAAAACAATCTTGGACAGTGCTGCTCAAAGGTCACATTCTACATCTTCTACTGCAGAGTTTATTCTAAAGCGTGGCTCCGCGGGATTTGCAAACCAAAAGAAATGCCGCTTAAAACTTTCGTGTACTCGTCAAACGGGGCGTAAAAGTTTTGCCCAAGGATAAATACAGTTTCGAAGTACTATTTCATTGAAACACAAGAACATAACAAACAACATCATTGATATGACACCTGCTATATAGTACTCCCTTGAACTTTAAAGCCTCTGACCCCCAATTGCCTTCTCTTCGTCGGTTTTACACGGACAAGACCACACACATATGTCCAAACACCTTTTGGGGTACCCCCTCTCTTGGGCCCCCTTTCTTTAAACAGGGCCCCCCTAAACTAAATAAAGGAGCCTATAGGGCCCTTTTTGACTAATTTCTGAAACAAACCCTGCCATTGATTGTTATCATTCACAACGATCACAAAACATTCGAGTGAAAAACTCAGTAGGTAGCGACCTTAGGGCGAGTCAGTATTCTTGCGAGATCATGTACTTAAGAATTTAGATGACCATTTTATTTCAGTGATGAAAAGTACAGCGAGTTAAAACATTTTACCTTGAAATCGTGACTAAATCTCATCTAAAAACTGACAAAGAAGTGATGATGGTTGATAAAAAAACATGTGATGTAAACGAAATACTTGGCAACAAGCTCCTCTACTAGTTCCAAGAATCTCACATAAAAAAGCTACAGAACTCGCACGCAAACAGAAAACAGTCAGTTTCAATGTGTCCAATCATATAATATACATTGATAAAATAGTCATTCAAAGATCTGATAAAACAATGGTCGATTCATCATTTGAATTGAAGAGCAGCGTCATGGATTCGTGTACACTTCCTGAACAACATTCGCTTTAGGCCAAAATAATTCGCAGTTGTTTTTCATGCATTGAAGGATTTCCTTTGCTTTCTTTTCTCCAGAGAAGTAGGAGCCTTGTGCAAATCCCCACCAATCGGGATCAACTGCGTCTCCAGCGAAATATAGCTTGCCCAACTTTCCTCCCAAGTTATGAAAGTCTGCAGCAGTAGTTCCAACCTCGGCGTTTGCATACGATCCACGGACAAAAGGGTTTTGGGACCATTTACTGTAGAATATACCTAAGATTCATTGAAAAGCGTAGGAATGTAACCACGTTAAAAAGGCTGTAACAAGCATCCTATACATCATCATATTGCAAGTTCGAAACGCCTCTGCTCGAGATCAGCGAGAAAATTCGCTCGTGTTGCGAGGCTCGATCCTCGAAACTCGATTCTGATTATTCGCTTCTCGAAAGTGGATCGTCAAAAACTTGACTCTCGATCTTCAAAAAACGAAATTTCACTCCCTCCTCGATTCTAGAAAGTCTCAAGAATCAAGAATTGAGTTCTTAATAGAGACTTAGTTAACCTGGCTTTGACCGTGTCAAGTGTAACCTTTTATTTTCTGATCAAAGTTAACGTTCAACTTTAAGTTATAAATATATACTACTCTACCTTCAGCCTCTGGGATATTGGCGCCATAAACCTTCTTCAGCTCTGTCATGATCTCTTTCAGCGTCTCCGATTCCGGCTGACTCTCCACTTTGAGGCTCATCTCACCTGTGACAGTCACGTGCAGGATGGCTGAGCCTGGCAAAATGTCACGTGCCTCGATGTCCATCCATATTGGGTAGTACCCCCAGACACGGTGAGCATACAAGATGAATTCATGGCTGTCCCAGAACTTAAAGGGAAACTTAATGAAAATTTTCGTGTAGTGCGCCAATGGAATCTTGTTAATGGCTTCAATTTTCCACTGAGGAAGTTTAGGTGAGAAGGCGACGGAATTACTTGACAGCACGCCTGTGCTGAACGTGCACAGTCCATAGCTTCCAAAGTATGTCTCCCCATCCGCGGTACTAACTCTAACACCATAGCGGTTGTAAAAAACAGACTTAACTGCCTTGTTCAAAAGGATTTTGTCTTTAAAATCATCTGCCATGTTTAGAAAGATACTTCCATATCCTCGAGGATCAGCAACAAAGAAGTCGACTGAGCGAGATCCAAAGCCCCTCAATGATTCCATCTTTGGTTTTTCAGCGAATTCGAAGTCCAGGACGGAGTATTCAATAACCCTCTTAGCTGGAGTGTCAGGTCTCCAACCAACAGTCGATAGTGCGGCCCTTACGGACATATCTGGTCGCTGATCGTTAGATCTTTCTCTTGATAATTCTTCGAGCTTCTCTTCGGCCTCAGCAAACTGCTTCAGTAAGTGACGGTCTGTGATGTCTCGCCCTCGTTCGTCTCTGGAGGCAATTAGAATAGAAAGTTCTGAGGAAAAGTTCATCACCAATCAAAACAGTTGATGAAGTACAGCTATTCAGATGCCTTTCTATGGAACAACCCGCGTCAAAAATACGTGCGGGAAGTATGTATTTTTGGCATTAAGGGAACCATGGCTTTCTCTATAAGCACCATCTAGGATTACAAAATGGCTTGACCTAATGCATTTTCCGTCGCTGTACCTTGCTAGTAGGGCAATGTGTGTTTGCCCAATTTTACCAAACTATTTTTAGAACTGGAAATTCGGGGTTTTGATATGAAATCAACTTAAAAACATCGGGCAAAGATCTGAAGAGAATTGATATGAAATCAAGCGTGACTCTTACATCGCGAGACAAACGATGAAACGTACACTTATCTATAAAACTACAATGAACAACAACACTTTACAAGATTTACCTAATTATAACATCACTGTAGTTGGTATAAATCCCTCTCAGATTGTGTTTTTCTTTAAGATCCCAGAGAGGATTCTTTTTATCACTAGCATAATGGATCCAGTTCGCTCCTTCTTCAAGTTTTACTCCTGCGAATGACTCCTGTTTGAAACGTCCTCCAATGTAATCCTGAGCTTCAAGGATCAAGAAGTCATTTATGCCGTTTTCTTTCAGAGTTTTTGCTGCAACAATTCCTGCAACACCTGCTCCGAGAATCAAAATTTTTGCCCGGCGTGTTACTGGTCTACGGTCAGGGATTTGTCGGCCATCAACGTTTCTTACAGGAAACAGTTGAAGCACGAATACAAACAGACATATACCACTTTTCTTCATTCTGTAAATCACACTCCTGCAATCATAATAAACTTTTACACTTCCTTGAACAATTAATAATGTTTTGTTTATATTGTTAGATAACTCACAGACATATCAGACTACCAAACCTGGAACACTAGTTACCAAATCATATTTGCTGCTGACAAGAATTTCAAATCTTATATTCGTTTACAAAATGATGTAGCTCTTAGTTCTTTCTTTTTAATATATTAATCTAAACCATTACAGTTTGAGTGGAAAAAAAAGTGAAAAAACTTCCAGACTACTTTTACTCACCTCTTTCGTCAAGAACTCGGTCTTTTTCTAAGGTGTCGGTACTACTGAGTTCAGCAAGCATCAACAAAGTCAATAGCTAAAGAGAAGCAACTTTTTTTTTCTCAAGCTGCTACAATGAAGGTGATCAAACAGTCAAAAGAGAAAATTAAACGCACCTTTACAATTGTAGCAACAATTTCAGATGACAAATACGTTCCAGATCTCTGAAATGTCGCTTTTTGTTTCATCAGGCTGCTCCTATATGTTTCATGCAGACATGACGTAGACAAGATATATTTAACTTTCCAGTATGATTCAACAAATCTGTGCCCGATGTATCGTCTGCAAAATTACTCTGTCAAAACGTAAAAACGCTGCAGTGGCAGCTGTCACTCAACAGAAGCACATAGATCACGCCCCAGCACACAAATGATTTCGCCTAAAAATGACTACGAATTAAGTTTGGCTATGCTCACCATAACATAAAAACCAGCGTAATTGGTAAAAATTCCTCGCAGATTGTCTAATTTACTTTCCCAGATAGAACGTGGTTCATCAGCAAAGGATCCGGCTCAAGCGTTCTTCTATCTTCACCTCAGCCAATGATCTAAATTTGAAACGTTTCCCAAAGTAAACTTGAGATTCTCAGGAACAAAAGTTTCGATGTAGAGTTTTCGTCACCACCCTACCTCCAACACCACCTCTAATGATCAAGTACCTTTGTTCGTTGAAGGTCTCTTTGCCGGGTATGGAGGCCATCGACAAGGGTTCGTGGTACAAGTTGTGCAGGGGGGGCCATAAATTGCACCATCTCTCTTTGTCTAAATTGGCCGCTTACCTCGCAATTCCTATTTTCTAATGATGCTGGACATACACATATATCTCTTAGTTTCCACTGTTTTGAATGGCCGCAACAGAATATTAGAAAACCCCAAAATCTTAAATGAACTTCCAAATTTATTTAGCAACTATTGCAGAAGATTCCCTTCCATTTACAATAACATAGAAAACTATTGTCATCTTGAAAAATTATCAAATATTCTAGAGATACAGACGAACAACATCTCCCATTCGAAACAATTCTGTTCAGTTCGGATAATTTACGTCACATTTCGAAGATAGTCCTTGCACGAACGTTCCGATTGGCGTGAAGCCCGGGAATAGTGGCGCTATTATGACGTCTTCTTACACGTGACTTTGGAAAACGCAACATCAGAAGAGTTTCTTCAACTGCTGTGGCCTGGGCACGAGGTTGTTTGATTTCCGGTTGTGCCACGAGAACATAGCGACTGAGGAGAGAAGATAAGCATTACAAAAATAAATAAATAAATAAATAAAAGTTTGCACTTGTTGAAATGTATGTATACGAATAGTAAAAAGCAATTCCATGAGGTAATTTGATGTAAGGAGTCAAGCAAGCAAAAAAAAAAAACATAGGGAAAATCAATACTGTAACTCACAAATGGTGAAACCTTGGAAAAACGGAAATGGAAAAACTCCTGTACTGAATAACAAGGCTTACCACAGTCCGAAACATGCTATCAGTTTTTAAGCGGACTGAAAATCTTTTAAAAATCACATCACAATTTACCTGCATTTGCTTGGGATTGAGGCTGACGGAGGGGGCTTAGGTAGGACATTTGCAACATCCGACACGTCATGGTCACACGTCTTCAGGTCCATTAAACGTTTAGCCAATGGGGTAAGCTGCACACCTTCAGGCTGGGAATTAAGCCTCAGGCGGAAAGGACGTTCGTTTGACAGCTCTTGTTCCTTCAGTTTCCAGATTTCAGTTTGACTGAGAGAGGGCGAGGGCGACGTATCCCGATCATCTAGGAGGGGTGGGGTGATGAACTCCAACACTGGGCCAGACTTAGGCGGTTGTTCTGCGGGTGGATTGAAAAAAAAAAAAAACACCGATTATAGGTCAACCAATTTATAAAGCAATATGATTGTAAATATTCTAGTGGTGAAGGAAAGCAACGGACAGAACCGAAGCACATGTACGGCAAGACAGAAGAAATGCTGAAATTACTTTATCTCAACTAAACTGAAAGCAAGACTTCTCGTCAAAAGAATACCTTGGCCGCACTCTAAGTGACTCGAGTTTTTCCATCTTTCCTTCTGTTTGTTATCGAGAGCTTGTCTCCTTTCATTGGCACTTTTCTGTCTTTCCAAACGCTGTTGCTTCAGTCGATAAGCCCTGACAACAATAATTACGATATTAACTCAATGAAAGCTACTACACAGCAGTATAAAAATGGGAGACTATGTAAGAAAAGGAAAGAAAAGAAACACTGAGCTTAAAAAGGTGTATTCACTTTGAGGAATTATTAAATGTGTGTCGACAATGAGCTGGTATTTCATCAGCCCCTTTTGATTCCGCCATCTACTTTTCCAACCAACCCGCAATTTTCCACGTTTGAGGCTGGATAAAAGTATATTTTTTCTATTCCCTCCTTCATATGTCCCACCTTATTACGATTAGTATAAGTCTAATAACATTTAATCAATAAGCGCTCAACACAAATCTAATTATATGTACTCTTACCTTTCTAAAACCTTATTTTGCCAATTTCCACCGTAGTCGGTTGTATCTAAACTTGGGATGTCGCGCGAATTTGAGAGTCTGGAGGCAAAAGACCAAATTAAAACTTAGTGATAGATGGGAGAAAAAAAAAACTGCAAAGGAAACTGCACAATAAGAAGACGCAAAGCGTTGGAGAAACTAAAGGGAAATGTGAAGGAATTATGGTGTGGTAAGAACTGAAGGGTATACTTGGTACCTCTCCCTTTCGAATGATTCTCCGGAGAGTAGATCCTTCATGTAATCCTGCGGCAAAAATAAACGCACAGTTTGTATAAAGACAGATATGAAGTGAATGAGAACCAGAGCAATTTTATCATAGCTGTGGTCAACAAATACCTTTCTATCATGCGATTTAAGCTTAAACGAAAGGATTAAGGAAACTGTTAAAGATAACACAGATCCAGTCCAATTCACAAATCCAATCCAAATCCAAAACTCACTCTTTCCTCACTCGTTCAATCCGCACTTAGTTTCCAACAACAACAGCTACAGTGTAAGATCGATGTTCGTGGTAGGTAATTTGTTTTGCAGGTCCAAAAGTCAATTTTAATGTTTTGGAAAAAATTAAACGTCACTGACAAATAAACTTCATAAAACTATGCAACTTTCCGTAATCTACCTATATTTTAAGCATTTCTTTACCTTATCCGCATCGTGTATGCCTATACTGGAGCGCATGGCTTGGTAGGCATCTAAGAAATCCTCTGGAAACAAAGTATACATGCATTAGAGGGTTATGCACAAGCATGAGGGTGAATTCCATTTATTAAGAAAATGCCCTACATCACTGATAGCGCAGAAAATTTTGATATGAAATCACAAGGACGAATTATGAAAGAAAAAGAATACAATAACATTTTATTATGTAACAAATGGCCTACAACATCCGGGATGGCTTGGGTCAAATATAGCGACCACTGGCACCCGAATTATATTTCGTCCGGTTTGACAGGTAGCCATTTACATTCTTAGAGGAGAAAAGGTGAGGATGAAGGTAAAGTATGTTTCTTAAGAACACAATGCGATGGTAAGGTCTCGAACCTAAACATCTTTTGATGAGATTACTGCTTACTCCTTTCAATAAACTCATAACTGACGCTTTTATCTTAATATAACGCCAATTCTTTTCAATGATTAACAAGGAACTGTGGAGCAGCTAGGAAAGAGAATTAGTGATCCCATCTAAAGGCTATGGCATCCTCCCACACTTTACAAACGCTTTACTGACCATCTTCATCAGAAGACACGCGCTTCCACGTGTTCCTCCTGGCAGGTGTGGCACTCTTACGTGTCTTAGTTTGCTTCTTTCCTTTACTTCGCGATGGGGTATTCTCATACGGGAACATCGAGTGTTCTTCCTGGCTCGTGGCGTTACTGCGAACAGTGTCGGCAGTTTGTGGTCTTTTCTCAGAGTCATTTTTGTTCAGGTACAGTATATTACCTACCAGAGAAAAATGTGAAAACATGGTAATCCTGAAATACTGGGCAATAGGCAAAAATATTGTTAAACGTCACTTTTCACCGCGATGGTTGATTTTGGACATCATTCGATACTAGAGTGATCCTCCTACAGAACTATTTAATTGGGTTATTAAGTAAGGAGGGCAAATATCCGAAACGCCCTTTAACTGGAAGAATTCACGTGCGCTCGTAGAAAATCTTACCAAGAGAAGCGTGGCAAGTTGTATGTCATGCTCCGAAAAGAACACATATATATTTCGAAGATATTGGCCAAAATGGTTACAGAATGTAAATCCTCCAGGTGTTGATTTAACGACGAACCAGGAGAATTTCTTTTGAAAATCACTTAGAGTTCTTACTAAAAACGAAGTATATGACAGACTGATCTACTGGCTATCAAAAGAGAAGACGTTTATCACCTTTAGGGGTCTCTTCCGCTTTCTTTGTCGCTTTCGATGTAGCAATACTTGGTGAACTACTTGGCCGCGTTGGCTTGGGTGGGAAAAGGACCTCCCGGTCCGGTTTCTGGAGCGCTTGTATGCACCAGCGCATAAGAGTGCTTCCTTGTTTTCTAACGCTTGGGGGCCTCGATGATCCTGGCGTTTCATGTCCACCTGCACCAGTCTGCAGACTAATGGTATCGATAAGCCGTGCAAGATCTTCATCATTCAGGTCAAAATCACCCTGGTTCACCTCATCAGTTCTTAGACTGGAATTATCTGTTGTACCGTGTTTTTGTCCGTAGCGTCCATCCGCTGACCGAGTTCTAACGTTACTCGACGTAGGTGTGTGTTCCCGCCTACTCTTCGCAAGTGCGAATATTGTTAGCGGAGAAACACCTGACGAGCTCTTGGACAATTTTCTCAACGGGTCACCAGCCCTTTTGTTGCCATAAACAGGCAACACTGTTTCTTTGAAGACTAAGCCAGCATTATGGGATCTAAGTGTTGGGGAATCTCTGCCAGAGGTGTATAGACTGGGGAACTGTCGATTACGTCGAGATGTTCGGATGTGGTCTTCGCTAAAGGTCACACTTTTCTGTACGCGATCGCTTCGTGTACTACGACAAGACGACGTTGGATCTTCAGCTTGGGCGCTAGTATGTTCATCCATCCCCTCTAATTCATCATCATCATCATAGTCTTCAAGAATCTCGGCATCAATCGGGACTTCATTGAGTGGTTTTTGTATCACCTCGCCTGTATCAGGATCAATGAACGTCACTAATTGAGGATCACTTGGTTCAGGTGAATCACGTCTTTCCGGCTTATCATCCTCCACTGGAGCTTCCTCTTCATTTTCCTCTTTACCCTTGGCTTCGTAGTCTTCATTTAGTGTATTTTCGTCTTTATTATCAGCAGTCTGATTCTCGTCGCTCAGTTGAGCAGTCGTTGTATTTTCTTCAGCAGTTCTTTGAGAAGGCGAATATGATGTGGTCATTTGCGGCTCTTTTGCGTCTACAAAAAGTAAATCAGTAATTCATGGTCATTTACCATACATGCGATTTCTTTACAAATGTGCAACGACGAGAATTGAAATAAACAAAATCACTGTCAAGAGAAAGGAAAACCGAAACAACAAAACAAGAGAACCTTCAGCTTTCTCTCTTTCGGGCATCTGTTCCTTGTTCTTTGCTGATCGTGAAGACATCTGATCTGGAACCTGTCTAGAACTAACAGTGTCTTGTCGTATGAAAGGTTTGTGTTCTCCTGTTGGCATGGTAACAACACTGGGCATCCGATGCGTGACAATAACATCATCGTCATCTCCATCATCATCATCGTTAACTTTTATTGTATCTTCGCTCCTCTGTTTCTCTTCTTCAGCTTCACCAGACTCATTTACAATCTTTTCTGTCTCTTTCTCTTGTATTTCTTTCGTAGCCTCTTCCTCTCCCTTATCTTTAGGCTTCTTTGCTTTCTTTGCAATGGGCCTTGGGATACGTCGAGGCTAGAAAAAGAAAAATCGCCAACTTATGTAAAGTTTAAAAATCTACCTCAAAAATTATGAGTTAAACTTCTTGCAAGTTGACAATGCTACATATTTGAAAACTATTATGATTATCCATTCAGCCGTTACTGATTTTCTTACCTTAAAAGACTTGGGCTCAGGCCTCTGTTCAATCAATTTTCGGGCGACTGGGGCGGCATATCCGGGACCTCCAAAGCCAGAGCGCAAGGATTTAGAGTCAATGGTTATGTTTCCCATCCTCCCTTTCTCTCGTCGGAAGCTGGAAATGACGGGAACCTTCTTCTTTCCTTCTTTATTCACATCTTCGCATCGTTCACAAGGTTCTTCGTCGGATTTTTGAGGCTCTTTCTTTTCTTCACCTGACAGCAAATCAAAAGATGTATCGAGAGCAATAACGGAATGAACTTCGATTATCAAATGTTTACACCACGCACATTCTGTAACCGGGAGGTCCACACCTTGATTGCGAAAGCAAAATTTTTTAACTCTTAATAAGCTGCTAAATATTTCAATCCTGTCGTTGGTAAAAATTTTGTTTCAGTAAAAGTAATAAGAATCACCATACGTCTCATCAAGGGAGGAGGGGAAGTGGGGATTGCAAGTTCCCCATAAACTCCTCCCCCCTGGATACGGTACTACAATCCTTGCAAAAGCAAGCACAAGCCTCATCATTTTAAGTAATCATATTTGTAGGAGTTAAAGAACACAGATAAAATTACATTACCTCCACTCGAGTCCTCGTCAGACTCCACCTCCTACAAGCAAAAGGGAACTGTTCTCAGTTTCATTATTTAATAGAATAATTAAGCATCAACAACTGAGTTGATAACGTAAATTGGCCATCGTAAAGAGTCAAGAGTTTAGCTTTTAAACTCTTTACGGCAGCAAATTTACGATATCAACTCAGTTGATATTACTTAATTACCCTGTTATACTCTCCCATCGACGCAGACCCAAGTTTCCTTAGAAACTTACCCCCTTTATTTACTATTTTATATATCATTTCATCGTTATCTAAAGAATACCAATTACACAGTACACGCAAAACAAAACCTTCGAAAAAACTTACTGGGGGAGGGGTGGGAGGAGGTGTTGGTTCTGGTGGAGGAGTTCTGGGTGGCGAACTCACTGGCGAGTTTCCAAATTCAGGAAGATCCCATAATTCTGTACTGGTTCTACGTTCAGACATCGCTACAGAGCTTGCCAAAGATATTCGCCGAGGGGTGGAGGATGGGGAACCGTAGACTTCAGTCGGAGCGAGCGAGAGGCTGTCTGACATTAAGCTAATGGACTGAAAGTAAAGCAAAGAGTATTATAAGTTGCACTATTTTAAGGTGTAGGTTGTTTGATGGTTTGTCAAAAATCTTTATTAATTGGAATAAGATCTTCAGATGTTGGTTTGCGAGGATGAACAAACGAATAAAATAACAAAAATTTTGTGTAACTTGTCACATTAACAGTGTCTTTATACGAGTATTTAAGAGCAGTTTTCAACCGAGTGACGTTTGTTTTCAGTTTTGCATCTGATTTGGAGTTCTCTAGACCAATCACAGAGCGAAATAGAGCAAAACCAACGCAAGGCCTGTTAACTTTCGACATTCGAGGGGAAATTGCTTTAACCTCAAAATAACTATTACTTGTACCTCTTCGTCCTCCTGTTGGTTTTGCGGTTCAAGGTCTGGGGGAGGTCGACCTTCCATAAACCAAGACGTCTTCAACTGTAAGTTTGGAAATGGTACCTAGAGATTGACAAAGAGAGAAAGTTCACAACTTGGGAATGAAGGAAAAGACTAATACTTGTGGACCAAGTTGGAAATTAAAGCTTTACCAAGTAGTTCTCCATGTTAGTAGGATCTGGTTGCAGAATCTTTTTGCTTTCAAATCTTACTGATGGGTCCTCGTAGATGTCTGATTCTATATCGTATTAAGCAAAAAAATAAAAAAAAGGTGAGCTAGGCAATGAATTGACGATTAATACAGACAACCTTTTATCTACCTGTTTCAAACGCCTCATCGTCGATCGATTCAGATCTGCTGCCAGGTAATAAGCCATCCTTCACAGGGTACACTGAAAGATTCAAGAAAAATTTCAACGTCACACGCCTAAGTAAAAGGGGCTTTCAAGATCTGTGCAAGCCGATTTACAAGAAGTCTGTAGGAGCGAACTAAACAGAAGTGTTTTTTTTTACGCAGTGGCAGTAATAGAAAAATTCGTTACCCTAGTTATACCCTGCATTAAGCGTCATTAAACCGTCACCAGAGTAATCACCACGGCCAACCAGAATAAAGGAAAAGATCCCAAGGAGCCAAATTGGAACTCAAGTGTCTGGCTTGTACGCGGGAAAACGTGACTTACCAAGAACTGATTGGTTTCAACGTAGTTTACATCTGATTGGTGGATAGGATAGCGCAAATATTTCAGGCCAATGACAGAGCGACGAGCAGCAAAATCAACGCAGTCCTGAAGAGCTTTTTAAAAAAATCTAGCTCTCAACACTTCATCCATTTTTGTCCTTTTCAGCCAATATGTGTTCCTCCTTGGAGGAGTTTCAGGGCGTTTGTGTGTCGATTTGAAAAGCTAAACTGCTATTTGACTATTTTGACTCACCTTTTTCATTTGGAATTATGAAGATGTGCTGTTTGAAACCGATAAGGATATCTCCTTGAAAGAAAAGAGAGAAAAAAAAACGACGAATAACAAAACGAGGACATTGATTGTAACAAAATTGAAAGAGTTCTAGTGAACGTACATGTATGACTGCTTTACAACTTCATCACTGACATCAAAGTTGATAATTGTCTGATCTTTTTTCCAAACAAGCGAAGGGAAATCTTAACGCGCTCATGAAAATAATCTATAAAAATCCAACGATCTGTACCTTGTGTATTTAGGAAAGAGGCCACTGTTAATGTTTCGTTCATAATGATTTCTCGTAGAAGGGTTTTATTTTTGTCCCAAATCTTGATGATGCCATCTCCACTACAACAGCAAAAGTTAAGGTCATGAGAAATAAAGAAAGGAATACAAAATAAGGAAGCTTTTGACTGTTAAACCTTAAACTCCCAGGAGAACTTGGTGCTAGATCAAGAAAACAACTTCTACCTGTTGACTTTGAGTATTCTCATTCCCTGTTTTCTGGATAATGAATGGATATCATACAGAGAAATTACATCTTTATCACTTCTGAGAGTTAAACGGTAAAACAAATTTTCTTTGCCAGCACTAATGAAGATACATAGTGAACGGAATGAAAAATATGCATACTGAGGGCGTAAAAGGTTTTAGAAATCCCATGACAGTTTTATGTTTGAACTCATCCACATAAGCAAATTTCGTTTTCAGCAATATTTTCGCCCTTGTTCAAGAACATTAATGGCCATATTTTCCTGTCAAAGTTGCCAAAGCAAACTTGGAGAAACTTATTCAAGGAAACGCGTTGGTTAAACTAAGCTTTAAAATAACACATGAAACGACGCAACACTAACCTGACACTACAAAATATCTCCAGGTTCGAGTTCGAGTCCACACTGTTAATACAACTCTTATGATCCTTGGGAGGTGAACGCCTGGTTCCCTTCGCTCTCTCTTCTGTTGAGAAAACGAAAACATTTATATCATGGATTCAATCAATTTAACTCTCAAACTTGACAAGTTTTGCAGTTATTGATCACCCAGAATCACTACGTTAAGTGAACGTGCTTATCAGCTATGACAACGGAATCCATGGTTATACGGTCTAACGGTGACTGTACACGGGAAGTTTACTGTAACTGCGGAAAAAGTTTGGCTTTAAATTGTAGACGATTTTCGCAAATTAGATCATAAATTTGAGCAGCAAAGACAAGGAGACAAACTTCCTTTCAGGGGAAGGATTGTGGTTCAATTTCCGAGCGCAAACGTATGTTGTCGAATATATGTATGTTCATTATGTTATTCACTGTATTCATTATGTTATGTTACTTACCTTGATCTTCGCGAAATTCATTGTTATCCACAGACAGCGAATGAAGATGCAAGTATCCACTTTGATGTCCACACAACAAAATATTGTTCTGAAAACCGAAACACTTTCCTTTAGTTATGGTAGGGTAATAGAAACGTGTGAAGTCCAATTAGGTCTGTAAATATACGAGTGATTAATTTACTGCCGTCCGATTTGTTAATCATGAGTATGATTATTAACCGACTTGGAGGACACATGGTGCTGTTATCATTGAATTAAAATTCTAAAAATTTGCGAGAAAAATATCGTTATGTACAGTTTGGGAAATCCTCAGCTTTGGACAGTACGTTGTTCCTAAGGTTATAGTAAATCACTCTTTTGAGAAAACTAAGCGTGATTGGCTGATGCCACAGTCCGATTACAGGTATGCGATTACAACCAACTATATGTATCCCAGCACACCGTCCCATTACAAATCTATAAAATAATTTAAGAGAACTATACTAGTTCATCCGGCTATCACATTTGAGCAAGTTGTAATGTTTAAAATCAGTGCAAAATCGGACTGCTGCGAGTAAATCACGTTCGAGACTTTTGTTATAAATTTTACTGATCAGAAATAATACGATATGCGCTGCACGATAATAGCGGCACAGGAAGCAGTTATGTCTACTTATCATTAACACAGCGTTTCAGATCATACCATGCGTGTAAAGCATGTCATGTCAGCGTCACAATCAATCCTCTTCATCAACTGTAGGAGCGGCAAAGACCAAATATGGATAACAATCTTAGGATACCGACACTTTGTAACCAGAGTGTTGTTGTCCTGGTCATGGTAAACCTGAAGAACCTTCAAAAACAAAAAGCGGATCAACTTTCAAGAAACTAATGATGCTGTGAAACCGAGGGTACAATAAACAAGCAGGAGGCATTTGACGAGTAAATTAATTAAAATAACTAGTTGAATCTCGTTCCTTTCTGAAACATTATGTCTTATAAACGCAAGTAGCCTCTTGCGGAGCAAGTAGCCTGCTCGGATCTCGTGTGAATTGTTGACCAAAGTCATTCTCATCTGTCCATAGATAGATAGATAGTTTAATCTCAAATGCATTTGCAGCCCGAGGGCTGAATTACACATTTTTACAATCCAAGAAATTTAAAATTTAAAATTTAAAAACCTAATTACACGTCTTATTATACTAGCAATTTACAATATAATAACATGATAGTAAATTAAATAAAATACATTAGCTATAAATGTAAACTAATTAAAATAAATTTAAATTAATTAAAAGTATCTACATTATCATTATCATTATTATTACTATAATTATCACGCGTGCCGTAACAAAAATAAAGGATATCGTATCGATAAAAATCTAGCCATTAAACCTCCTTGCCATAGCAAATATAAAAGTGTTCATCGTTCTCGAAGTGCGAAGGCGTGGCATATTAAATTGGCGCTTATTTTTGAAGTTATAGCTGGGTTTATGTATGGGTGGAAGAAGCGCCTTTAACTTGTGGCTAGGGTTGTCTAAGATACCTTTAAAAAGCTTCTGACATAGAAATTCGTAATGTTCTAAGATGGGTCGTATTCCTAAATCTTGAGCAACCGCGCAATCACCCGCAGTTATAATGGAAATTGACCGTTTCTCAATACGTAAAAGCTCATTCTTCAGATATTGCGGAAGCGCATTATAGAAGACAGGTATCGCGTACTCTGTTACAGATCTTACACATGATGTGTAGAAAAGTACTAGGTCTTGTAAGGGAACCCTAGCTCTCTTTAGTTGCACTAAAAAATACAACCTCTTACTGGCCTTTTTGATTACTTCTGATATATGACTGTTCCAGGTCAAGTCGCTAGCTATATTAAGGCCCAGGAGCTTTACGTTACTAACTACCTCCAACTCTTTGCCTTCAATTACTATGGGATCAAAGAACCCGGGCCTTTTAGAAAATGAGATCCGAAGCTCTTTGCACTTATCAGAATTCAAGTGAACTCTATTTTCTCGTGACCACTCACTAACACAATCTGCTATATTTTGGGCGTGACTTTCACTCTCTTTTGGTATCATCTCCGAGGCTGTTGTATCATCAACGAATTTCCATAGTGGATACGCGATTTCAAGGTCATTTATCATAAGGACAAATAACCATGGGCCCAATTTTGTGCCCTGTGGTACTCCGGAGGGCACAGATCCCCACTCCGAAAAGCACTCCGCGGCCAGCTTAATTCTTTGTGATCTATCAGAAAGAAAGTCAACTATCCAATTGGTAATACTAACTGGCAATTTACACTTAGTACGCAGTTTTCTAATCAGGATTTCATGGTCGATAAAATCAAAGGCCTTTCGATAATCAAATACGATTGTTCTTATAGTAGCGCCATTTCCATCAGTGTTAATTGACCAATTATGTAACATGCTAATTAAGGCCATAGTCGTGGAAGAGTTTGGTATTGCCCCGTATTGGCTGTCGTCAATGATACTCATAACTGCTGGTTTGACGTAGTCGTCCACAATAAACCCTTCTGCGACCTTAGAAATGCATGGAGTAAGCGAGATAGGTCTTAGGTCCTTTTTCAGTTCCTTTACTGATTTCTTTTTGGGCAGGGGTGTCACGTCAGCCAACTTCCACATTTTTGGTAAATGCTGCTCGGAGTAGGAGGCATTAAGGATTTCTGTCACTGGGAAAGCCACTGCATCTGAATATTCCTTCAGTAGCCAATTGGGAATTCTATCAGGCCCACACGCTTTCCCAGGGTTAAGGTGAGACAGAACCTTCTGAACACGTTGTTCACCCACGTGCAGGATCTCTGGTGTTGTATTCGCCTCCATGGGGAGAAACTCTAGTGGAGTTGGCAGTCTGTACTCCTCCAGCGGTTCTAAAAACGCGGCATTGATGGTGTTGGCCTTTTCTATTAATGACAATTCTGAAAAACCTTCCACGTCAATCTGGCTCAGAAGGTCGCCATTTTTCCTTTTTGAGCCGCTCAGACGCTTTACTTCGTCCCACCATTTCTTTGGGGCTTCTTGTCTTAAATTCTGAATTCTCACTTCATAATATTTAGCTCTGCATGCCTTTCTTTCCCGGTTAACCAGATTTCGGAAGAACTTGAATTGGGCAGAGTCGCCGCCATATGATTTGAACGCTTTTTGTCTTTTCAGAATCATTGACTTCAGCTTATGGTCAATCCAAGGAGCGTCCGCACTACAGGTGCGAATTTCTTTCTCAGGCATCAGAATATCAAGCCCTGTATGTACAGCAGTGTGGAAAGTCTCCCACTTTTCCTGGCAACTATCCGTAGGAGCGAACAATAAAGGCCAATCAATAGAGGTTAGATATCTCCCCAAGGCAGCCTTGTTACTCTCACGTAAGTCACGCCTTTTAACAACGTGCTTTCTGTTTACATCACGTTTACCATCTTTTGGCGACACAACAACAGCGTTGTGATCCGACAACCCGAATGGAGGGTAGGCTTGTGGCGGATTATAGTATTCTTGCATGTTAGTGAGCACCAAGTCTAATATGGCATCCTTCCGGGTCTGAACTTGAACTATTTGCTGGAGACGAAAGTGATTCAGCAAGCCCTTAATATCCAAGCGGTTGAAATCCCCTGTGACGACCAATCCACAGTTGGGATATCGCGTCTCCGCTAGGACGAGGGACTGGAACAAATGCTCCCGGATAGATGTCCCATCGGCCTTGGGGGGGTGATAGATCACTGCCGCGATTATGCAGGAAAACCCCCGGGGGAGGCGGTTTGGTCTTAGATGGAGCCACAATGTCTCATGATTATCACAGCACTTTAAATCGTTCAGTTGTTTATATTTGCACCGTTTTTCTTGAATATAGACACACACACCACCGTGTTCTAGTGTCTTCCTGTCCTCACGCACAATAGCAAACCCGGGGATGTCAACAACGGTGTCCAACACAGAGTCCTTTAGCCAGGTTTCCGTAACGAACGCAAGGTTGATATGATTACGAGTGATAAACTCGCTAACTTCATCCATTTTGGGGGCTAAAGACATGACATTCGCTAACATGATCTTAGGAACTTTGGGTGACCATTCGGTACTGGCTGCTCTGTTTTCCTTGGTGCAATCTATAACAATGCAGTTGTTTAGATTGCTACGTGGAAAGGTGTCATTTTGAATATTTAATATGTTCGCCAGTTGGTTATGTAAATGAGGTTTCCTGTGAAGGATTAAGTTCTTGGCAAAGAAACACCCATTAAAGTTCGGAAATTGCTGAATCTTGCGTGCTCCATTCCCCATGCAAATCCCAATCTGCCTTTGTTTGCGCTGTCCTGCTCTTGTCCCTCGACGTGTAGGTCTTTGCCGTGTTATTCCCAGATCAGATATGTTGCGCCATAACTCACAACCGAGCGACTTCTTCGTCGTTGAAGATAAAATGGCATTCAGTGCCGCTCTTGAATAAAATATCGCCATGTAACTAGAGGCCAATATTATAAAAATCTACTTGTGATTAAAATAGTGCTCTTTGTCGTTTCGAGGAAGTTATTTTGAAGAAAGTTCGCTTAGAATCACGGAGCAGGAAAAAACGCGTGCTGCCTGTCAGGCGCTACGTCATACACTTGACAAGACAAGACACTTTGCCTCCACAACATCTCTCTCCACCCTGGAGTAAAACGGAATACTGGCAAACTATCATAAGGACTTGACGAAATGCAGGTGGCACCGGGTCGGGAAATTATTAGTGATGAACTCACAGTCCATCTGCAAAAAAACACAACGGCTTGCCGCATCTCGCCGCGGAAAGTGGTTTGAGCTTCGGCTGATGTTTTTCCACCAGATCGGAATTTTTTGCTATTTATTATGACATACCGGCCAGGTTTGTTTCTCAAAATACATGTACTTACAGCATCCTTATTGGCTTGAAGTTGATGATATTTTAGTCCTTGCCAAAACATGTGAAGAAAGAGGACACGCCCATCCTGAAAGAAAATAAAATTCCCACTAAACTTTAGAAGCCGTGTTATGGGTGAAAATTACCGGTCCACTCTTTAGATTATTATTAACTCAACGGTCTCTTTGCAGTTGGAAGGAAATCGTAGAATATCGTTTTGTGGTAGTGAAACAAATTCTTTTTGAGTCCATGATATTGGTTCGCAAAAGATCACAAGAACGTCTCTCATTAGAATGATCCTAAGATCTGAGAGCGAATTCTCCTAACAGGCGAAGGTACATACCCTTATTGGTTATTCCTGAGAATTTAGAGTCTATCTAAGACAAACTATTCAAGAAAATGTAATGTAATGATCTGGTAAATTTACGCGACCTCTCCGCCAAATAGGGCAAAGAGATTTAACATAATGGTCACTCTCAGGTTAGAAATGATAAACTCAAACAGCTTGTGTAGTCTACCAATGTTCATTACTTCCACCCACCCCCTCCCCTCCTCCCCTAAGTGGCAACTCACCTGAGTTCCCGCCATAAGGAAATGCGTTGTATCAGGACATGCATTTCCCTCCAGTGACGTCATTATTATCGGAGAATACAATATTCCAAGACACGTGATCTGGACTTTCTCCTTACGAGTGGATAACATTGATTCCCTTCCGCTGACCTCTAACGGTGGAAAAGAACTCCTACCAGGCGGGGGAGATTCAGGACTGGGGGATCTGACAAGGGGAACGGAATTGGAAACATCTTTCTTCAAGCAAACCGAATGTTTGAAAACTAAAATCAATTATAATCATCAAATTTCTTCGAACGTGATTAGTACATGAACTGCCTCATTTTCCTCGATGATTCTGTAGAGTTGTAACTGGACAGTTGGTCGTAATCGGACACCTGTAATCGGACAGTTACATGGCCAATTACATTGAGTATACTCAAATGAATCCACCAACCATAGAATTTATTACAGTAACCATAGCAAAGGCCTACCATCCCAAGCTGGGAATTTTTAAAAAAACAGAGAGATGCAACCGTGCGATGAATCTATTGCGCGCTCTACGCATATCGAGACTGTCAAATTCTTCATAGTTAGGAGTTTCATCTACACGTGCTATCTACCTGTTTCCTTCATTAGGCCATGGACTGTTGGCTCTGGACCTCTGCAAAGCATCTTGGGAATGTTGATTATGGATGTCTTCAATAAAGTCCAGTTTCCAAGACTCCACTCGTGTCGCTGGATTCGTCCTGAAAAAGAATTCATCAGAAACTTGAAAACCTTCATGCATGGCGCCCAAAGTTGTCACTCATAAAACTGATCAGCTTCTGGAAATGATTATACACGTAATGACTGAGTTGGAAAGCCGGCTTTCCGTCTGGCCTGACAAACTCAGTCAATTAGCATTTTATGATTTGAGCACCAAGTGTTTCAAACTTTTTCTAACAGCCTAAATAGAGCGCACTGAACAACTACTAAAAATATTCTACAATAAATCTTTTCTTTTTTTTTCTTCGATTCAGCACAAGAAACACGTAATCCCTCGAGAAGACCGACTAATTTTCGCACTCTTCCTAATTTCAGTTGAAGTCCATAGTCAGCTTTCACTATGGCTTTCTAAGGGATTGCGCATTTAGGCCGTACCCTTATATGATACATGTACTTATTGACTAAGTGGCCGTGGTCAGAATGCATGGACCGAGCGCAGCGATCTCCGTGCGTCAAAACCGAAAGCCAAATATTTTCCTGCACCGTCGTACCTACCATGTAACTCAGTCCGTAAGGTTTTTGTCATTTGCCTGTCGCTTTTCCTTTTTCATACTTCCATACTCACGTTTTGTTGGGAAGCACAAAAGATATGAGTAATGAAAAAACATCTGATACTTTCCTGGTTCATCCAGGTTTGCGCCGAAATAGCACTATGAGCCCAAAAAGAAAGTGTGGAAGGAAAACATTTCGTGGTTTTAACGCTGATCCAGACAGGTGTCAACGGATTCTTACCTGGTATAGTAGACCCAGATCTCTTGCTCATCAATTAACAAGTACATCATGTTAAACTCCCTGTTGTATGCCACATCTTTTAGCATGTTTAGAGGAGAAATGGATGGCGGCGGGAGGACTGTGGAGAGGTTCTGACGCTTCCGAGAAATCAAACGAACACTACAATACAAGAAACAAAAAAAATGGTGATTTCAGTGCAGAGTAACTCCGCCTACCTTCAAAGCTCACTAGAAACGTCATCGAGTGAGTTTTAGTAATAAAAGATACTTAAGGCAGATAAGTTTAATATACCAGAACAACGATTTCATTTGACACTGCCGTATTTTAGAACCGATTTCGTTGTGAGTAAAAACAACTTAGAAAAAGAAAATTGAAGGAAATTGCTTAAATTTTTACCAAACTCTATTAGAGCCTGTAGATATTTAGTCTTAAAATCACTTCAGCAAAACCATGGCAACAGCCCCTCCCCCGTTACCAGGAATAACTTGGGAACATCAATTGCACCATGCCCTCCCCCATTTTTTTTACAACTTTACCTGCTGTCATTTCCAACAGCCATAACACGTGTTGACTTTCCCTTACACGTGACCAGACTGAGTGACGTCACTGAGCAGCGTGATGAGGCCCAGAAATCACATAGATGGTTGAGTGAGAATACTTCGATGAAGCGATTAGAACAGCAGTAAAGAAGCTTTGAAGAGACGATGTTCATCCAGTAAATTCCCTCAGAAAATACAGGAATGCTGAAAAGTTTATGATAAAGCGCGTTAAGTTGGCTTGAGAATCAAGAATGACGGTCAATATTTGGTGCTCCTAAGAATTATAGTTCACTCGCACGCAAAACTTTCTTTCGTTACTGTAAGACTGGAAAACAGGGCAACTGGTCAAGAACTAGGGAATGGTAAGTCACTTAATTTCACGAGAAATTAAGGCACACAAATTTATCCCAGAAGTAGTGAGCTCGAGTGCATTTGACATAACACGGCGGCGCAAGGTAGTAAGGTGGTAGTATACTTTACTTCTGGACGCTGTTTCTTGAGCGCAACAAATCGTATCATCATTTGACTTTTTCAGCTCCGCTTATGCCATCCTATGGCGAACCACAATTAAATCGTTCGTGTGTTGGGCCGAACGGCTTAAACTGAGCCTGTTCGAAAAAGGCCGTCCATCTCCGTACTCGCTCGGCTCTTTTACTTTTTCCGAGAACGTGAATTTTACTTGCGGACTTCATTTCAGTCGATAAGTACAGAGTATGGACTGTTAGTGCTCTCACCTGTATATCTCCTCCATAAAGTCAAGAGAGTTTACTTTTATGATACCATCCATGGCAGCAGTTATCACCAGCGCCGAATTCTCAGGGTGAAGCAATATCTTTGTTATGGCCTGAATATGGCGGAGGAAAAAAAACATCAGGATCCTTGAAAACCCACATTGTGGTTACTAGTGTCGTTCATGGTGTCTTCAGTACAAAACAGACAGTACAAAGCTGATATCGAATGGAGATAAGCTCACCTTAGAATGGCCTGAGAAAGTGTGTACTTTTCCTCCACTCTTTGCTCTGCTCCAAACATTTACTGAAAATCAATTGATATGAATAAAATGAGAAATACTAAGTTCTATATCTAACAAAAAAAACAACAACCACAACCATAACAAGCTTTGACTTGATGAGCACATTTTGGTTTTTTGAGATTCTGTTTTCTTGCTTTCCGCCAGTCATGTGAACTTGTTTGGAGCTTACGTTCTCGCTCTTTGTCATAGGACAGTTTTAGATTAAGTGACAAGGGCACTGTGGGATTGCATCACCTTAGCCATAGACTAAGCTCCTACTGTGTTACGCGTATTGGCGCTGCTTCACGAAAATATCCCACGCTTCTCGCCAAAATCGCGGAAAGTCTCGAGTTTTGCCACTCGAACACCGCATCATATCACGCATCAGCCAGGAGTGTAGTAAACTGCAATCTTGCCATTCCATGATTTTGGTATAAGAAAAGTAGTAAAAACTCATATGAATAACACGGACGAGGTGTCCACACCCCCCTCCCCCCCTTCCCCCACCCCCTTGCTTGTATGATAGGCCTCAAGAGAACTCACACCAAATAAACCAAATAAATCATAGTGACTTCCTCATTCTCGCTTTCGCGCGCTTTTAGTTGTTGAGCTACAAAATCTACCTGTGTTCGGGGTGGGTTCTAATTACTTTGGCTTTAGTTTTTCGACACTCAGTCAAAATATGCTCCATAACATTCGCTCACAAAACACTCAGCAGAGTTAAAACCATGAAATCTTACCATCACAATCAGTTCCTACGGTCACCAGGAAGTTACAAGCTTTTGAATAAACACATCCAGTCACTGGACCTCTGTGAGCGCTGCCAGAAAGAAATAGAAAATGACAAACATTAATTTGGCACTTTTTGTTTGCTCATAAAATCAAACCTTCGAGACATTCAGGCCTCGCACAATGTAGTCTCAAGTGTAAATTGAAAAGTAGAAAAAAACCACTGACAAAGGTTCACATGTACATCACTCACTCCAGTATCTGAAATAGAAGATTTCCTTCCATGTCGTAAGCCACTACATTCCGTTCAGACAGACAATAGAGACGCTGTCAAGAAAATATGTGTAGAAAAACAAAAGTAAGGTTTGAAGTGGATCAACATTAGCAGATTTGGCGCAGACTTCGAAAATAAGTGGATTTCAGATCGGGAGTCAGTCACAAATTTCAAAGCATGGATCCTCAACAAACTTCAGATAATGGATCCTGGATGTTCCTTCAAGACTGTACAGATTTCATTATATACTTAAATTTGACATTTTCTGCAGGTTTTCAGGACCAGAAGCTACAACATACACTTACCTGCATGGCTTCATCCAGCTCTACTTGTTTTACCCAGCTTCCCCCCATGTCAGGATAAGATGCCCTGTGGTTGTGATCACACACTATGCTAGTATCATTCAAAATGACCTCTAATTTGACACAATAGTACAATGACCACCGTGGGTGGTGGGTAACTACCGTAGAGAACACGCCCCTGATCAGTTAGTTTTGGGTCTTCCAGTGTACTGGGTTTCAGATCGTTCTAATGCTCTGCCACTTGCAAATTAGTCAACGCTTTCCCACACACACCACCCTTACTGGTTTAGTTCATTGCTCTCTAGTGCCAGTGTCTCGTTCTGCTAGTCAGTAAACTGTTTGTCTGTGTTTGATATTAACAGTGATTAGTTTACTTCTAATGGTATCTATATTTCACCAACCCAAAAATTATCATTTGAATTAACCAAGAAGCAGAGGAGGTCAGCTGGAATTAAACCTTTGTAGATCACACTTCTCCCTGCCCAAGAACATTTTTGTACGGGCCTGAATTTTTTTCAGGTCCTATTTACAACTACTCGTTTCAGTAGTGTTCTTAGCTGCGAGGATCTTATAATTTCAACATTTTTGTTCCTAATAAAGTTCCAAAGTTTTTTTTCCTATTAAGTCCCCATGAAACGAGTTAACCCTATGAACCCTGAGAGTGACTAGCAACTACTATCACCTAACAATATCACCCCTGAATCCCTCATGAAGGTCATGAGAAGAAAAGAATTATCTCTACCTAAAGAGGCCCATCATTATTTTAATGAATTTGTTTAAAAATAAATGAAGTGTAGAGAACAGTGTTTGGAGAATGAGCATAGTGATCTTAGGATGTAAAGTAGGGTTAATTAGGACTCTTGATGCCTGGTACATCACAAAATGGTAGCCAAAATTGGACTAAGGGAAGGGAGATGGATGAAAATGTAGCCTTTTGAATTCGAACTAATCACTTGAAAACATAAATTTCTATTTGTTGTTTCTTTTCTTTAAGCAATTTGAGGCTCCACTGGCACTTTCACACTCAGATACAAGTTTGTAATTGAGTAAAAGGTTCAAAATTGTAGTCAGTGAGGATGTTCATCACAAGTGGTCTATAATTATATATAATAAAGTTTCAGATTGGCACTGTTGTTAATTATCATATTACCTCAAAACTAAACCATAGTTGGCCATGGGTCTTGAATCTCTATCCAAGGCTTTCTGTCTGTTTTTATCTAGTTCACCAAATGTCCAGAACTAAAAAAAAAACATAATGGTCCAAATTAAAAGTGTTACCATGAAAGCTTCTAAAATTCACCCTTTGATTTCCAGAGGTGTTAAATACATACATGTTACTTCTTCTGACAGTTATCAAATGAATACAGTATGCAGAAAATAGGTGAGATAATTATAAGCAAAACCATCAACTACAGAGTTCTATCTTGATGTGACAAAAAATCATCTTTTGTTACCCAATTCACAAGGTATAAGCAAGTGTAAAGCAACTTTAGGGGTTAATAAAATGTTTTGCTGTCTTGTTGCATGTGTGAGACAAAGAATAGAAAACTCCTAGTCCCCTGTGAGAAATTGAACCTCATACCTTCAGATTTTGCACTTTCATGCTTTACAACTGAGCCAGAGAGACTCTAAGCTGAGCTGAGCCATGGCTAGGTTCATATATAACACACATTCCCCATACAGCTAGGATCAGAAATGTTGTAAGTCTTTGTGCCAGTTAAGTATAATAGAGCATGAAGTATGATGAATTGTAAGGTTAAAGAAAAAATGACATACATGTACAAAGATGTTTCTTTGGCTTGTCACTAGTGTGGGACAAATAATTATAACAGTGCAGAAGGGGAAAATTACCTGTTACTAAAAACTGGATCATTGCCTAACGCAATTCAAGAATTTTTATTGGCTTAGCCTTCATGAGTTATGAGCCATTATACCATGCTCTACAAATAAATTTGGGAAAATTTATCTATATTTTATAAAAGAATTATTCCATTTGCACTTGTTGGATATTAAATGATTATGGCCACCTTGGCCCTCTGGGTCTTGTTGGCTATCACTCATCTCACATTCAACATGTGCCTCTGGAATAATTGTTTGTTACATGATACTTAAGCTGAATTATACACGTATTTTGATAGGTTCCCACTTGTGATTTATTGAAAGGTAGATGCACAGGTGACATCACTAATGCCAAAATTTTGTCCTTTTCCATTATAATAAGTATAAAATAAATAGATTCCATGTTGGTCTGTACAGTTACTGTAATAGATTACAGAAGACATCCAAATGCCTTAAGGAAATCAATGACACAGCTGGCTGTGCCCATGTGCAACTTTTTTTTTTTTATTCGCTTTTTGACATCATCCACATTTATTATCTATAAAAAATTAAATTGTTAATTAGATTATCGGATTATACCTTCATGCCTCCTGTCCCACCAGTGATAAGTTCATCTTTAACATGATTGAAGACCATACACAGAACTGAATGCATCTCAGCTGCCACTGAAAATACTTCATGGAAGTTTAGATTAAAAACCTACACAAGGAGGTAAATAACAGAACATAAGACACAACCACAAAGCTATTTACTGCATGACCCCTGTGAAAAAGAGGGTAAGTCAAAGTTGGTCAGACAATGATACATGAGCAGTACTGCACATCAAACAAATGATTACTGCTCCAGAACAATTAAACACCAGCCTGAGGGCGTAAAGCTGTTTGGGTGAACCAGCTCATCAAAGGCGACTGATGGAAAATGTCTTTACAAAATGACACAACAGATGAACCCAAGTTCTCCCACATTGCCAGCAGAAAAATAAAACTGGTACAGTCATTCAAATACAGAGAGAAACTGCACATGACTAGCAAAAAGATAAGGAACCTACTCTCTGGTAATTACTTAAATTCCAGCCAATGACTGTCACTTTTTTATCCAGAAAATTTTTCCAGCAGCTGCCCCTTAGTGTAGTACATGCATGTGCATGTACATCTGCATGACAACCCTGTAGCCTCAATTATACAAATATGTGATTTTCAAGCCATCTTTCCTCCTGTCAACTTTAAATTGTAAGTCCTGTATGTACCAATTGGACTGTATGTATGGGGATTATATCTCCTTTAATAAAAATTGTTTTACTTATTTAAGGAGCGTTACTTGCCTTTAATGCATACTCTTTGGATAATGCAAAATAAACATTGAACTTCCTTGAAAATATAATGAGCCTAAGAACATTAAACTGGTAGGAGGGGTAGTTCAAATGTCTTGTGACTGAAAACAAATAAACAATAAATTAACAAATTGTTTGAAAGCAATTCTAATCAGCTCATAATTTGCACAACTAATGGTCCTCTAAAGCTACGAAGTGAAGCCCATGTTATAAGAATACATTACAAATAAAAGATTTCAAAGAGAATAGCAGGTAATTAAAGAGATCATAATATTTAGTGTCTTATTTTGTAAATTCATAGATCTTTATTATAAGTATATTAACCCACAGAAATTATTTGAGCAGATTGTGTCATCAGAGAAAATATCATGTTCCTTGATCATTACCTGTATAATGTCCTGCACACATCATTTCCACAAAGACCACAATTTGATAAAGAAAATTTGCTTGTTACTGTTATTCTTACATATTGTACCTGTATTATAGACACTTTCATAAGACCAACTTGTGATTCCTCTCGAGTCAAGGAATACAAACTGCCTGAATCGTGAATTGTGTGTCACTGAGGAAAAGAGACAAATTAAAACTAATAAAATCACAAGTAAATCATACAACTACTAAGAAGGGTGTCAATCATATGATCACCAACTCCTAACAAGCAGAAGACTAATTTTTTTACGACAGCAATGTCTATGCATGTGCTGGTTATTTGGATGTCAGATTTATAACTTTATGGGCATATTAACTTTCCAGCATTATCACTTGGATGAAGATAAAAAAGTTGGAATTTCCCTTCTGCCAACACCCTTCCTGTGCACCTTTTCTCCATCCCATTTTGGAATCATCCCTATCTCCTACCTCCGACAATCTCACAGTTTTTTGAGGCATGTTTGTATGACCCTCTACTCTGGAAGCCATACGGGATTTGCAAATAATTGCTTCTTTCACTGATGCTGTATGTTACTTCGCTTTCTGTCTCCTCGCCCTGTGATTCCACTCTGCCTCTTTCAAAGCATTCTACAGTCCCAGCATTTCCAGCATCAGGAACTGCTAGCTCCTCCTCTTTGTTCTCCAGCTTTGCAGATCGATCCATTTTATATTTTAAAAGTTCTGGAACTTTTGCAATTTAATAGCATGTGGTGTTTTCAAAGAGAGGTCCATCACTATGCGAAATGCTATTCTGTCAGTTCACTGAACATCATATAAACATCTTAGACAAGCCGAAATAACTTCACTGCAATATATACAACGCGATATTGTTTTGTAGTGAAATGCCTTCAAAGAAACCCATGCAAAAGCGGAAAGCTTGCTGTCACGATTGAATCAAATTAACAAAAATTCCTCCACATCGGCAAATAAACCTCTCGAATGTTCCTTGATAGTTTTTGGTCGACAAGAAATTCCTTATGGACAACTGTTTACTCCACAGAGCCATTGTAGACTTGTATTCATTGTAGTATGGTACAAACATTCACATGTCGCCATTGTCAAGAACACATTCTGCAATGCGGTCACAGTGTGATGGAATCCAACCAGCTGCAACTTTCTCGCCAAGCTTTGAAGTTAAAAATATGCAACTACCCACTGATTATCCAGAGTTGTTATCAACTTAACTAAAGTTTGAAAACACTAAGAAAAACTAGTTTCATTACGTTTGAATAGGACTCGATTATTTCCATATTTTAAACAAATTAGTATTAATCTGTCTTGTCGAGTCTTGTCGCAGGTTGCTAAGATACGAGAAGGAATGGGTACTAGAGATTTGTACGGTAGCTACAGTGGCCCATAGGGGAGACGTTATCCATTTTTTTAAATTCAATTTTATCGCGCGATATATAATGGTAATATGACGGAGTGGAGTCCAATTCGGTCTGTAATCCTAAGAGTGATTAACAAAATCGGACGACCGCGAAGCGGGAGTCCGATTTGTCAATCATGAGTATGATTACAGACAGAATTGGACCACACGAAGTCCTTTCACCAACAAATCATATCTGTTACAATTTCCGAAAATAACAAATACATTTAGGACAAATATGTGCAGTAGAGACAATGTCTCAGTAAAAAATTCCTCAACTTCCTCGACTTTTTTTTTAGGATAAGTGGTTGTTGCTATGGTTATTGTGATCAATTCTGTGATTGGTCGATTTGACTGAAAGGACATGAAAGGACTATGGTTGGCTGCTTCAACTGCCCGATTACAGGTGTCCGATTACAGCCAACTGTCCGATTACAACTCTTCAGAATGATTAGTGAAAAAAAAAGCAGCTACTGCACCAATTACAGAACAGAGCACAGTCAAGGCTTCTCTGTTTGTATTATTATAAAGAATCCTTTAAATTCCCCACGCATTACTTTCAATTTTCAAAACAGGCTTTATTTCCAAAACTAACAACGGTGTCGTTAGCATGCTCTATACTCTCATAGAGCACGCTACAATAAGCCAATCAAAATCCCTGTTAGAATGGTTCAAATAATCTGACTGGCTGTACAAGACTACAGCTGTCAAAAATGTCAAACAATCAATGTTCAAAAACTATCAAAGTTCACATTCTGAAATAGTTCGGCAGGTCGAATTTAACACTTGCCTGAAGTTTTTTGGTCTCTAATACAGAATCTGAAAGTGAAATGTTCAGTGAAATCCGACTGAATTATGGCTCATAAAACACAAAAGTTTTTCACATGATACTTAGAAAAAAAAAATAAACGACAGCCGAAATTCACCGAAACATGAAGATTGCTCGGGATGACAGAGCCGTAAAACTCGGCTGCAGTGACTGATGTTTGGTTCTTCTGTTGCTACATGCCGGCTCGCTTCTTCCTCAATTTCACTTTTAATTAACGAAAAAAGGCTAGAAAGAAGTCCCGGAAAAGGTCGGACATAGTACAATTTGGCAGATGGCGTGACAGCTTTAGCTCAACTCCTTGCTCGATACTCTTATAGATCACGCTCTTTCAATCAATGATAGCACGCGTTTCATTCGAAGTTAATCATAAATGGAAATTATCGCGCGATGAATGTTAAACTATCACGCGATAAACGATAAACTATCGCACTATAAATGAAAAATTATCGCGCGATAAATGATAAATTATCGGGCGATAAATGGGAAACTTGTTAGGTAGCAGGTGATTGACTGTCACGCACGTTGTTTCCGTGGACGAGGGGACAATGGCTGCAACAGTTGGAAAGTTCTTTCTTAACGGGTTGGCGATGCAGAAGTGACATAATGTAATCAGAAAGATTAGATAATCCACTCTTGTTCTCAGACACTGACAGCCATCGCAAAATCAAGGTTTACTGTACTGATTCACAGAGCTACGTGTCGCAGAAGTATTGTAAAGTACCTCTAAATGGTTTTTTAACGAAAATAAAACGAACTATTGACTTCAAAACATACCTCAACTATGGCAGCCATCGTCGTCCGCGGAAACAACGTGCGTGACAGCCGATCACGTGCTACGTAACAAGCCGTGGAGGCCTGTTTTCTAATCTGGAAGGCCCAGGAGTTATTACTTTACTTATTTCACCAGGGTTCAGCGCCCAGTTATTCAAAGGCCGATTAGCGCTAACCCGGGGTTAAGTTTCAATCTGGGTTACTTTATTCCCTTCTTAAAAGACCTATTTCAGATAATTTCTTCAATTCTTTTTTAGAACATCCAGGCATCAAATTGTAGGCAAAAATAAATATACTGAATATGCCTTTAAAGGTTTTAGATCTGAGGTCAGATTTAACTCTAACCCTAGGTTATCTTAACCTAGCTTTGAACAACTTGGCAAAGGGCAGATAACATTATCCAACGGAAAAATCGCTATCAGGCGGAAAAGAGACAGCAAAACGTGTAGCTTTATCCACCGGATTGAGTTTTATCCAGTGTATAACACCATCCAACCTTCGAACAACCGGGGCCAGGTGTTCATGATTTTGTTTACAGAGAGACATCCGTCAACAAAAATTAGAATTCATAATCTTAAAGAGATCATGAGCAAATAAGGTAATCCCTGTGGAGAGTGCAGCGAAAGGGATAAAACTCTACAGTCTTCTTTCAGTCTGATTGGTTCCCGCAATACAATAACCCCACAGGGTATATTTCTAGACCGTTGTTGAACTTTGCAATAATAACATGAGCAAACACTTTTTGACTACAAATCTTTGCTTTTTTACGTTTAACCTCAAATGGTTCTAAAAATGTACAAAGGGATTTTCGCTCTGGTATCACTGGCGTGCATCTTGCTCGCAGGTAATTCTTCTTTTTCATTTTCGTGACCTGTCTGTTTAATATGACCTGTAAAGTTTTTTTTTTTTTTTTTTAAATGTTGAATTAGTAATCAGCAAGAACCGTTGGACATGAAAAAGGGATGTTTTTAGTTTGTATAAGACTATTTCATGAGAAAAAGTTTCTCTATGGATGAGCAATTTCTTTCCGGGTCATCCACAGTGCAATCTAGATTTTCAGACGGTAATAAAATTTATCCCTACGCTAATGCTTCGCCGAAACATCTTTACCGGCTTATTTCAGAGACAAACTCTACTTGACTCACGAGTGAGATGCCTTGTGTGAGTATGTGCATCCAAATATTTTTTAACGTTCAATGTTATCTTACATAAGCAGAAAAAAATTGTTACAAAACGTGTTTATCGCGCTTCGTTTTGATCAGTTGTTTCGATCAGTTGATGATCAAGAAAACAAAAGTAACAGATAAGAGTTTGTTTCAAAATAAAATTGGAGGCATTTCTAGCGACAAATTTAAAATGATGTATTTCCGAAAATCACATCTGCTTCCCCGGAAAATTTGTATCGCTTAATATTGCACGCAAACATTGCGGATAACTGTACAGGTGAAAACTACAAAATTCGCTGCAGTAACCTGATTTTCACAGTTTTACCTTATCTTGTATGCTTTTTTCAACAATATTTTTGATCAAGTTTCCCAGGTATAATCCGAAAACACTGGGAAAAAATTGGATATATATGACCTTCTAAACTTGTTTGTCGTAATTATACATATCTTCGTTAGCGAATCAATTTTGTCGGGTTTTCATAACACTTCTGTTAAAACGCTCTCACATGTTTGCTTAGCAGAAGAAATCTTAGCAGAAGATCGACAGATAATGGACTCTTAACTCGAGATCTTAATTCAAGGCGCTGTAAAAAAGAGAAGAAAAAATCACCGCATTATATTGGTCTGAAATGATATGTAATTAACTTTCAGGCTGCATTGTGAGTAGTTCCTCTCATTCGCCGCCATTTTCATCATTTTTTTAATGGGGTGCATGTTAAATTCATCCACCCTGGTAAAGCAGTCAGAGTTATTTTTGCATAAACTTATACAAAATGAAAATAGCTGAGTCAGTTTTGGCTGACGGTCGGTTTGTACAGAAGACACTCGAAAGAATTACATAAGGCGGTACACAAAAGGTTTCTGCAAATTTAACCTTTCTTATGCAAATATAGACCAGAAGCGGAAAAAAAAAAAACAAACGCAACTCTAGATTTGGCATAAAGCTGAGAACAGTTGGCTTTTTTGTGCTGATTGAATTTGGCAATAAACTATGATAGGAAGTTCCGAGATGAAAATCGAAAGGCTTCTTTTTTGTGATGAAATGTACTTTCTTGAACAGACTTGCTGGAAATTATAATTGATTCAAGTACTGTTAATAACATACGCATGTAATAAATATTCGAAATGATTCTGTGAAAGTACTTGATAATGACAGTTTTACATGAGAAAGAAAAGTTCAGGTGACAAGCTCCATAACAATTTCATCTGTCAATCAGGCTTTCTGAGCGAATATACAAAGACAATGACTTTAAAAATGAAATCATTAATGAACATTATGAAAATAGTGCTCGTAAAATTTAGGAAAAATTTAAATTTAAAGGAGAGCACCAAAATATTTTTGCCGGGGATGACTACTTGGAAAAGTTATTTCTTTGAGTTCTGTCTCTTAACGATTATCGTTACTGGAATGAATTATAATTTGCCTAAGTGATGTTCTAATCAAGATAAAATTATTTATAATCTTCTAAGCTGAATGGCTAGAAATTCCTTCTCAATAAAAGAATGGGTGAAAATATTGTTAAAGAAAAAACAAATTATGTGCAGGTCTGAAAAAAAAAGAGGTGTCTGCAGAACGAAGTAAACCCATTTAATTTTACCTGCTTGACATGTCGTGGTTAAGTGCACTTCTAATGAACGGAGCACAGTGGTACAATTTTCTCTCGTGCACTAAGTGTTCAGTGAACGCTGCACGAGCTGTAATTGGTCACGTGGTGTAGCTGACGTCAGATGAATCTGGTTTTTTACGGCGTACAGCTCGCAAGCTTTTATTCGGATTTACTCAGAATTTTGTTTATAGATGTTTCTACGAAATTAACATGGAGATTTGTACAAGCAACTTTGGAGAAAACGAGTTTCTAACAAGACACGTCAACAGAGACGTTGAGGATTGTTTTGGCGCTCAGACATAATCTGTCACCTTTCTTCTCTTGATCATTGTCTAAATCGGACAGTTCTCCATGCTTGTTATGTACGTACATTTAAGAAATTTGATGACATAATCAGTGGCATATCCCTTTCCTTCAATAGAATATAAGTAAGAACTAATCAGAAAGCTTGTTTCATTCAAGTTATCAATTAATTTCTAATTATTTGATTGTTTCCTATCAGATCTGCCAAAATCCGCTGGTGATAATCACGTCATCGTGAGTAAATGCAGTGAAGATATGAAAATGGAAAAAGACATGATGTGCGCGCACACGTTTCTCAGGGAAATGAAAAATGGCACCGCAAACTGCAGGTTACTTATTTCAGAATTTGATGCTCATTGGCTATTAGATTTTAATTTTTTTTATGGCTTCGTAAAAACTACCTCTGCCTCGAACTAAACTTCAAAATATTAGATTGCTAAGGATCCAGTTATTATTTATTGCCGGATTGTGAGGGGGAAGTCGGAAGGTTTTGGGGAAATCACGTGGTTTGCAGGGCAAAGGAAGACTATAGAAATTGACCACCAAGTGACTGCCAATGAGGGGGAGATCGTGAGAATGCTACAGAGCCTTACAGGGGGATCCGGTCCCTCGGAAGCTGTTAGAGGACACAATACAAAAGAGGCAACCACAAAGCATTTGGAGAAAAAGGGGCTTGATATAGAGAAATCGCGAACGAGAGGAATCGAGGGAAAATATTCTTTGATGAACAAACCATCACTTGAAAATAAAATTTCTGCCATTTTCGATTCTTTGACTAAAACATTTTTTTTTTCACTTTTTCAGTCATGAATTAATGAATTTCATGGGCTGCATTAGGAACTTTACACTCGACCAGTGCTATGGTGATTACCTGAAAACTCATCACAGCATGATGGAACCAATGAGACGAATGGCCGACATGAAAGCCAGAATTCACAATTTTGGCCGCTTGATGTGTGGTATGGACGGAAATGGTTATAATGTCACAGGGCTACCTAAGAACATTACTGACCTGCTGAAATGCAAGAAAGAGTTTTACGACAATGGAAAAGGCTGTGCTAAACCGTTCCACGACAAATTCAAGGCCAAGGCTAAACCAGAGGACTTGTGCAAGTAAGATACCAAAACTCAAATGAGGGTTAAAGTAATCTGGGATTGGTTCAATTTTCGTTTTAAGCATTGTGATTGGTTAAAAACTAACTCCCGCCACTTTCTCAACCAATCAAAACTTGGTTACTTGTGTTTTACCGCGCTTCTGGCCGTTTGTATTTTTCTTTTCTTTTGAGATCTAATTAGCTGTTGTAATAAGTTTGGTTTTGATTTAAGACATTCAATCGAAAAGCGCTCTAACGAGCTTTTTTTCTGAGTTTTCTTTAGGAATTCTATCACATGGCCATGCCTAAGCTCTTGACGAGGCCTTTCTTCTAGATAACGTAAACTTCAGCGGTAGCAATTTCAACTGCGATGAATCCGTCCAGACCCAAGACTAACTCGTTAAATTGGAATACTCTTCCTGAAATGTTACATGAAAACAGTTGAATTCCACAGCGTATCTAGGAACGAATGACTTTAATAACTACATTACATTAGATCTTCATGATTAATGAAAAGCATCATCGATACATTTGAGTCGGGAAAAGAAACCTCTAGGTAAAAATTTCCATAGATCATCTGGCTCTGTACGCCAAAGATTATTATCTATTTCAGTTTTTAAATGAAAGCTAACAAAGATTTATTTACCTCACAATTGAAACGATAACAGTAATAACTGCTTTTTTCTTTCAGATATTTCATGAAGGCAAAGGAGTGTCAGGTAGATTTAATGAAGAAGTACTGCGCACCGAGCAAGCCCCAAAAGCCTGATCCCTTTAATCCATTCTGTCCCGGTGAAAAAGATCCGTCCTCTCATGCAGGAGCAGGAAAACTAAACACGGGTGTGGCCCTCGTATTTGTGGGCCTTGCTCTTCATTTTTTGTCGTAAGCCTCTGACTGCGGATGCACATGAGTTTTCCAGTTTACACTATGACACTGTTAGTAGAATCATAGCAGACAGCTTGAACAAAAGAATTTTGCGAAATCTTTATTTCATGTAGATGTCGAATGCATCCGTCCTCACGAAGCTCAAAATTTTGAATCAGCAATTGGAAGATTTTCCCAGATGTTATGCCAATGACAAATGTTAGTTTTCAAAGTTATCATATCCATTTTATTGTTATCATTTATTAGCCTGCCGTGCTTGGAAATTCCTTTGCCTGTTTGCTAGCACTGGAAATGTATACGTACAATAAAGCACTTTGAACACAAATAATATGGCGTGTTTGATTAGTGTTGCAGACAGTAGCCAGCCATCCGACAGGCCACGGGGTGTGTAAACTTATTAAGCTCCATTATGTTGCAAAGAGAACTCTATTGTCGGTTTAAGAGACAATGACGCGAAAAACTGATTTTAGAAAACGAGCTAAAATAAAAACCAAGCACGTTTGGGCACTTCTAGTTTTTGATTAGTGATTTTTTAGGGAATTTTTGCTAAGCATCAGCGAAAATGAGAAAAAATCAAAGGAGAATTTATCAGCATATAAACTGCCCTCTGGCCATATGCCTGACCGTCAAACGATTTTAAATTTGATAGTTTTTTTTCACAGTTAAGTCAGCTGAACATAATCTCCTTGGATCTGGTTCATGTGTGCTTCAGCCACCTTATATGGTCTTGTCACTATTTCTTGGCCATGGTATAATGACAGAAATAAAGTACTCTTTTTTTGGTTGCTGTGTAGTATATTAAAACAGGAATTCACCTTAGTGTCAGTGAAAGTGTTAGGTATTTACTTCCACTTCGGTGAATATTTGTTAATTATAGCTTATATGTTCTCTATCGTTTGTCAATGTACATATTGTTTAAATGTAGGTTTTGTCGAGCGTTTAATAACAAGCCTCTGGCTCGGAAGGCTAGGCGTCCACTCTCGTGTTTCAGACATTAAATAAAGTTATCCTTGTCCATATTTTCACGGAGTCTGCACCGAAAAATTGATTAAAACTTGTTGCGAGTAACAGTTGTTTTATATTTTAATTTTATGGAAAAGGAATGTAAGTAAATAAACGAAAAAAAAATTAATTGTGGATATGCCATGTTCAAGCAGACGAAGCGCCATTCGAGAGCCTTCTCATGTGGTTATGTTTATCACATCAAGGTAAAAATCCATGTGGGATATATTACTCTAACTGTAGTTACGGGCCTCCTTTTCGAAATAACAATTGTGTATTTTAGTTTGCTTTCTTTTCTGGTTCAAAAACATATTCAAACCTGCTAGATAGTCGTTAGATGATAGATTTGGAGACTTGCTACAAAAGTAGAGCTTTCGAAGCTGACCCTTACGAAATGTCAAAGTTGAAATGAGACCTCAAGATACCTACGCTATCTAGGCTTAAACTAATATCATTTATTTTCCGATTTCTTTCTTTTCTTTTCTATTTTCTATTTCTATTTTTCTTACAAAAGAATGCAAGGTGTCAAAGGGCTGCGGTTAAGGTTATTACTTTGTGATGCATGACTGTTTAAAATTGCATGATTTCACAACATTATTTAAGAAAAAAAATGCTAATTTCCTTATAGCCGGTTGGTTTTGAGGTCTCTGGGGCACATACACGGTCTGGACTGCAGGTACTGACGATACTAGATGGATGTCTTCTCGTTCTGGTTCATTTTGGCATTGTATTCCGTGAAAACATTTGCTCAGCGATGTAAGTTGACGCAACGATCTGAAAATGGCTTGGTTCTTCTTGATAACGTGTACAAATCATTCACTGTGGATCGGTTGGCTTCGTGTTATATTGCCTGCAATTCACAGCCTGCGTGCCAAAGTCTTAACTTCAGGCTGAGTGACAAAACTTGCCAGTTTAATAAAGAAACTAAGTTTTCCTGCCCAACTAGTCTGAAGCAGAATGAAGGGTTTATTTATGCTGATAACCCAAATCGAGGTGAGAATATCCTTAAAATACTTGGGCTTTTTTATCAGTCTGCGACTGTTAAAAAGTTTATGGTTACATTTTTTATATGGTTTTGCCTTACTGTTTTCAAGCAAACTTGTGTGAGCCGACAAATTTATTTTTTCCTTGTTACTTCGACAACTGAAGAAATTGGAAGACATAATTTCAAGGGACTTGGTAACGTAATAAATCCACTCAGTCACAAGGTCTCAAGAATACGTAATTAATCTGCGTCATTCCGTCGAAAAGTAAACTTCAACCGTAAAATTTGCTAGAATCTAATCTTCTATCGTCAAATGGAAACATTTCTAAGAGCCGAACGGCGTAAAACTGCCTTATTAGGAACAGCTCTTAATTATGGTATTATTAAAACTTTTGTTGGCCTATCATCAACCGCAACTTAAGACGTAAAGTGATCAATACGTTGTAACAAGTACCTTCATTTAAAAAAATGTTAATTGTGCTGTGTACAGTCGTATGATAAGTTGATTACGCATGCAAAGTATAATGATTTGTTTGCATATTTTCATGACAGCTTTACTCGGGTCAGTTCCCTTCAGAGCTGCGAATTCTTGTCAACATATCATTCAGAGTGGAGATTCCACTGGGAGTGGAGAGTATTGGGTCGACCCGCAGGGAAATGGGAACTCTTTCAAGGCTTTTTGTGACATGACAACTGATGGAGGTACCTTGGTGTTTTTTGTTTTTCAATTGTTGATTTTATTTTCTCGCTTATTTTTACAAAAGAAGTTTTTTTTAATTCAAAGGAGGCTGGATGATGGTGTTAAACATTATTTTAGCAAGCTCTCAATCGTCATGGTGGAATGCCACCGCTGAACAAACGTTTCAAGGTATGCGTAACTATGGAAACGGCAAAATGGCTATAACCAAAAGCGCCATGAACCAACTAAGAGCGTACATAAACTTTACCCAAATAAGATTTCATTGCAGCAAAGAAAAAGGAACAACATTCCACGTCAGAACGACTCTGAACAACAAAGGTGCAAAAGTGGTGCGATATTTCAGCGGTGAAAGAGATGAGATGCCGGACTCGTGTGACTCCTTCGTCCGTGTGGATGGTGACAACTCAAGACTAGCTCAGAATTGTGCGACATGGGCATATCATGGTAAGTGGGGACATGTCAGGCATAATGTTGGAGAGAATCGTCTGTACAACTACGCAGCATTTGTGGCCCACAGTTATCACTGGATAATTTCTACTGGTGGCCACTGGATGTGCGATGATAATAATAGCAACAACCTGTCTACTGGAGACTTTTGGAAAGTTTATGTCCGTTGAAATGCACATTCTTGCAATAACTTTGTAATAGGACGAAGCATAAGTGAACAGAGAGAAAGTCAAATGGAAATCAAATAGTATAAAAACTGATGTCTAGCCATATGCCTGACATTCGAATGATTTTAAATTTAATAGTTTTTTTCACATCTAAGTCAACCGAAAACACAATCTCCTTGGATCTGACCTACATGTGTTTCAGCTACCTTAGATGGTCTTGTCACGTGCAACTCCTTCGTATACTTGACTCCCCTCACATGGAACCTTCGTTTGATTTCCATGAAGTCTTGAACTATTATTTAACAAATTTCGCTCTAGCCTTGTTAATGCCAAGTGTTGAGGGTACCAGTTTTTTAGCTGTACATAATATGACATTTTTATTCTTAATTTGTAAGTTAGTATAAGTTTGGATACTAGCCTTGGACATATTTAGAGTGATTTTCATTACTATATACCGCAGGGGTGAATAATGCTTTCCGCGCGCCCTTATCTCTTGGTTCAGAGGTGATTAGCAAGTACTATTACCTCCGAGCAGCCAAAGAGACAAAATCGCGCGTCAACAATTTAATTTCTGATTATTATTTGATATTGACAGAAACAAACCAATCGTTTTGGTTACTGTGTAGTATATCCAAAACAATTTTTCACCTCAGTGAAAGCGATAGATATCTACCTCCACTTCGGTGAATAATTGTTAATTATAGCTTATATTCTCCATCCTTCGTCACTGTACACATTGTTTAAATTAAGTTTTATCGAGCGTTTTTAAAACAAGCTTTTGGCTCGGGTAATTAGGCGTCCACTCTCATGTTTAAAACATTAAATAAAGTTATCCTTATTCGTATTTTCACGGAGTTTCAACTGAAAAATTGATTTAAACTTCTTGAGAATAGCAAATATTTCATATCTTAATTTTACGGAAAGGGGAATGTAAGTACATAATCGAAAAAAAAAGAAACTTAGTTGTTGATATGCCCTGTAAAAACAGATAAGGTGCCATTCGAAAGCCTTCGCATCTGGTGATGTTTATCACATCAAAGCAAAAAAAATCCCTGTGGGATATGTTACTCTAACTGTGATTGCTTGCCTCTCTTTCCAAATAACCAATGTGTTTTTCTGTTTGCTTTCTTTTCAGGTCTAAAAACATATATAAACCTGCTAGATAGTCGCTAATTGATAGATTTGAAGACTTGCTACAAAATATTAAGCATTCGAAACTGACCATTACGAAATTGGATTTCGGGTCACAAAAGAATGCAATACTTCAAAGGTTCTTACGGTCAATGTTAATACTATGTGTTGTATGGCTATTTAAAATCGAATGATTGCACGACATTTTCGAAGAAAAAAAATGCTAACTTCCCTACAGCCGGTTGGTTTTGAGGCCTTTAGGGCACGCACAGGGAACAGGACTGCAGGCACTAACGATACTAGATGGATGTTGTCTCGATCTGGTTCATTTCGGCATTATATTCGGTGAAAACATATGCTCAGCGATGTAAGTTGACGCAATGATCTGGACTTGGATTGGTTCTCCCAGATGAGGTGTACAAATCGTTCACTGTGGTTCGGTTGGTTTCGTGTTGTATTGCCTGCAATTCACAGCCTGCGTGTCAAAGCCTTAACTTCAGGCTGAGTAACAAAACTTGCCAGTTTAAGAAAGAAACTCAAATGTCCATCCCAACCAGTCTAAAGAGTTTATTTATGCTGATAACCCATATCGAGATGAGAATATCCTCAAAACACTTGGGCATGCTTATCAGTCTGTGTCTGTTAAAACTTTGTGATTACATAGTTCTGCCATAATGTTATCATGCAAACTTGTGTGGGCCCACAATTTTTTTTCCTTGGTACTTCGACAACTGAAGAAATTGAAAGACATTATTTCAAGGGAATTTGGTTTCGTAATGAGTTCACTTAGTAACAAGGTCTTAAGAATACGTAATTAGTCTACGTCATTCCGTCAAACAGTAGACTTCGACCGTTAAATTTGCTAGAATCTAACCTTCTATCATCAAATTGACCCATTTCCTAAAGCCAAGTGGCATAAAAACTGTCCTATTAAGAACACCCTTTAGTTATGGAATTATAACTTTTGCTTGCTTGTCATCAACCGCGAATTACGATGTACAAGTACCTTC